ACTGTTTTTTATTTTTCATCAATTGCTTGATATCAGGTTTGATGGAAGAAAGTTGGAGTCTCATATCAGCTTCGGCGTCCAGTCTATTGCGATATTTTGTTTTCGTGGCTGCGTAGGTAGAGAATCCTGTTTCGCACAAATATGTAGTTGGGAACGGGAGAAGAATATCCAGAGCCATTTGGCCAAGCATTGCATATTCATCTTGGATTCTGCACCAAAAATCATTAAGAGGCGTCGTTTTGAACAATGACTCCATACTTGTGTCTGATGACATTTCTAAAAGAGATTCATATATCTCATTTGACATGTTTTCAGGCTTTTCCAAGTTGGGTAAAAAAGGATTATGAATCCAGGAGTTCACTTTAATTTTTGTATTGTGTTCTTCGGGAAAATACTTTTCAAAAGATGCGCGCATCGAACTGAGATATTGGACCAATTCTTCAAACACATTATCTTCAAACATTTCTGAGTCGTTTTCGCTAACAAACTCAGTGAGTAACGTAAAACTTTCTATTTCTTTCTTACCAATGCAAATGATCCAAAAATCTAATTTTCTTTTAAAAGTAGTTATTTTATTATAGGCCTGAAACACTGTTGTCTGTTTACCTTGCAATGATAAATTTAATTCGTTAAGTTTTTGAAAGATATCCGCCATAAAAGACAATCGGAACAACCAAGTTTTATCATACAAACGGTCCTTCAAATTAAAAGAAGTATCTGCTGAAAGAAACATTTGTAACTCGGCTCTAAGTTCAAATAGCCTTGTTAAAGTTTTTCCCCGAGACAGCCATCGCACTTCTGTATGGAGCAGCAGTGTTTTATGTTTGCTGCCATAATCTTCACACAATAATGAGAACAATCGGGATTGTAGTGGTCGTGATTTGATAAAATTAATTATTTTTACCGCTTCATCCATAACTAATTTTAGATTAGACGGCATTTGCTTCATCGCAAGTGCTTGTCTATGCAGAATACAATGACTGGAACTACAATTAGGCGCTTTATTTTTCATTCGTGACACTGCTCCTGCTGTTTTACCTGTCATCGCCTTGGCCCCATCTGTACAAATGTCAATGCAATTGTTCCAACTGAGATTATGTTCTTCAAAAAATATATTTATTTTATTAAAAATTTCTTCCCCGGTAGTGTTTGTAAGCAGCGATGAACACATAAGCATGTCTTCTTCAAAAGAACTTTTATATGGATATCTCACAATAACCAGCAGGATAGCCAAACCAGCGACATCAGTCGACTCGTCCATTTGCAAAGCGAATCGTGTATTTTGTAGACGTGTAACTAGTTCTTGTTTGACGTAGCTTGCCAGATCATGGATTCGTCGTGAAACAGTATCGTTTGATAGCGGAACAGTAGAAAGATGCTTTGCAGATTTTTCATCAAGCATACATTTTGTTATGTCTAATACACATGGTTTTATTAATTTCTCAGCGATAGTGTGCGCTTCACCTGCTTGTGCAATGCGATAGCTAACTAAGTATGATGCCTCCGTGGCCTTTTCGTTGGTAGTTTGTGTTACATGCATCATATTTTTTTGACTTTCTAATAACTGATCTTTTTTGCGAACAAAAAATTCTTTATTCTTGTCTTTAGTCTCGGGGTGTACGGTTTCTAAATGTCGACGCAATTTGGCAGGTGCCATGGAACTATTAGGAAGCAGTTTACTACAGAGCATGCAGAGAGGTGAGCCGTTGGAATCAACAAATCCGAAACTGATATAAGATTCATCATACTTCCTTTTTTTCGTCTTTGAAACCGTCGAGCTTGACGTCGTGGCACTCGTGGCATCATCTTCTGGATCGGTGATTGCTAAATTCTCCGCGCGCATTGCTTTTGAACATTCAGCGTCATTAGAAGATGTTGTTGGAACACGTTTAACACCTTTAAGCCAACGTTCCATTCTTCTTTATTTATAATGTTACAAGTCAGGATAGTGGGGTTTAAATAATGCACAATCGTTACTGCGTATAAGAGACTAAATTTAGAACCTACAGGGAAGAAATGTATAAAACTGAGACAACAGAATACAACAATGAACACCAGTTTCTCGCTAGCGAGCTTGTAAGTAGGTAGTAACTTATCGCTCCGAACGCTAATCATCAACTGACGACGCCAACGCGCGATCGCCGCTTTTATACTTAGTCCTAGACTCGATCTCAAATATTCTCGAAAATACTCGAGTCGGCACCTTTGATAAACAAAAAGCAAAAATAAAAACAGAAATTTAAAAATAGCGTTGTAAACAATATCGACTTTATCCTTTGAAGTTAGAGACGAAAGTCGCTAGTTGACAACTATAGCGTCTAATTCAGAGGCGGCTTTTATCAAAGAGACTGAGCGCTTACAAGTATACTACCCGCTCGTTTTAAGTTTGCCGCTGGCGATAGGTATGAGTGTATGACGTTCGAAATTTTTTATTTAATTGTAACAATAAAAATTGTGTACGTTAGATATTTGGGTAAAACTATGACACATTATAAGTTTTGTTGTCACGTGGGGGAGGGTACGCGCATTCCACAGACCGGCAAACTTAGAGCGAACGCGTTGTACAAGTATAAAATTGTTGAGACCAAACTTATGAGATATTGTACCAGCTAATGTAACACAAGCTTATACAAATACAAATAAATAAATAAATAACATTCATAGCGTTTTGTCTCCGCGCGGCCGCGGAGTCCGCACAGCCGCGGAGCGACCAGAGAGAGGTGTTTTGATTTTTTTATTTCTAAATTCTTGCGGAACCCCGACAGAGGTATCACGGAACCCTAGGGTTCCGCGGAACACACTTAGAGTATAGCTGACCTAGACTGAATAAATGACTTTTCATTTCATTTCGGCTGTGAGTTCAATGTTGTAGTATTTTAGGAAACAGTGTGTTTTCATGATTCTGTCATTGGGTGATGCCATCATGGGCTGTAGCTTGATTGCATCCTCCTTTATGCGTACATGTTTAATTCTGGAAACCCTATTTAGAGTGTCGGATATTTCGAGCCTGAAAGTCGCTAGTGCCACCGTTCCCAGGCCACTTGGACCAGGTTGCGGTTCCGAGGAGCTTGGCGTGGTGGTTTGTGCCTTGGATGACCCGCGCATGAATCCAGCTCGCTTACCTCGTTTCTTCCTGTTCAGGAGTCCGTCTAATGTCGTCGCGATACGGTTCTGGTTGCTGTCCCCGGCTGGGTTTCCCCTTCTAGTATTTGCGGCTGGTCACGTACTACCTTATAAGCAGAAGTCTTTGCAACGCGCTGGCTATAGCCTTCGCGCATCTTGCGCAAACGGATGTTGTGAGACTCTGTGGAGTATCTTATAGCGCTTTCACCTCAGCAAGCATACTAAACTTCTTCTACAGAGGTGAAGTCGGAACCTCCGGTTTCAGCTTCCTTCCCCTTCTCGTGGTCAGAGTCATTATCTCTCAGTCTTGCCTCGATTTTCTCGTGCTGAAAATAAGGATAAAGAAAGGAGTGAATTTGGATATGGGATCCTGGGAAGTGGGGTTCAGGTTACCCTAGGCCTGGGATTTGGCTTTCGGGAACTCCTCTTGTCCGGGGCCTTAAAAACCGGAGTTGGACTATCTGCAACCTGCCCTTCCGCCCAGGTGGCACGAGAAGAAGTGTCCGGCAGTCTGAGACCACCGGCCCGGGATATCGGCCAGATTTTCTTAACCTAAAGCTATATTAATATAAACAATAGAATTTTTGTACCACTTGCTCAAAAAAGTGACATTCTATGCCACAAAAAGCGAACATAACAATAGTCATTTTTAATCTGTTAAAAACAGGGAAAGAAAATTGTACTGAATATCATCTAGGGGGAGAATGTGGTTTAAATTTGGAATGCTTACCAAAAATACTGAACTACATCTGTGTTTACACCATTGAGTTTGTATATAAAGCATTATACATCTTTTTGAAATAAGAATACGCATTTATTGTGCAGTTATGATTATTAAATAAAATTACGAAAACCGACGAGGCCGTATTTAATTGGACCAATGTTTCGAATGTTAACTTTTACTTTTAATTGTCATTATTTTTAATAAATGCTTATCTAATATTATTATTGTGTTAATTTTTTCGCAAACGGTACGAAAAGTAGAGTATTTTCCTCAGTGATAAAGCTGTCTTAGTCTTGGGTGAACTTAAATCCCTCGCTACACTCAGGACTCGTCTTAAATCCCTCGCTTCGCTCGTAATTTAAGTTTTTAACACCCTCGCTACGCTCGGGAGTAAACCTCGAGTCCTTCGTTATGCTCGCGATTTAAATCGTCACCCGCGACAGAAGACACTGCTTTATCCCCTTGGTCAATAATCTACTAATATTATCCCTATAATATGGAAGAAATGTAGAGGTGACTTATTAATAAGAAACTTAAAAATTTCACTGAGTTTTTCCCATAGAAATGAATGTGCTACTTCCATTTGCTCCATATATTATATAATTAAGTATAAATCTAACGGAGTCAGGAGAGTATTGTTATTTTTCAGGTAGGTATGAGAAGTACCTACCGAACAAAGATATTTTTTAAGACTTTTCTTTCGACATTTCTTATAACATAGTAGAGTTTCGTATCATCTTATAGAAACCTATCAGATATAGGTACATAGTACGGAATTCTTCACGGACTCTTTCTTGGTAGATTATTGTCTGCAAAAATGGTAAGGAGCTGGCGCAATTAAACATTTCAATTCCATTCCATCATGGAAGTTCAATACGCGTAACCTACTTTGTCCCTACTTAAGCCAATTATCCAATTAAATTTAGGTCATATTATTGATGTACGTATACAGCAAATGTACGTGTAGGTGTGTTATAATGTCAGTTACAATTGAAATTCACTAAATAAGGCAGTGAATTAGTAGGTATATTATAAAATCTTAAGTGATATGATATCGATAGGTAGGTACCTGTTCTGCATATTAAAAACGTCGAAAACAATCGTTATCAGATTTGAGCCGGTTTATCAGTGGCGATAGCTGAGTTAGCTCATCGTATCATTGAAGTGTGGACGCCTTTATTGTGCTGTGTTTATACATTTAATTGGTGTAAAATGACTGGTGAAAACGCAGATGCTGCAGCCGCGGCGACAACGACGGCTAAGCCGAAACCAAACATAAAACTGATCAACAAAACCGAAACGGAATACAACATGAAGTCCATTAGGTTCCTGTTGTTGACTATAACAACTATGTTTATGGTAAGTCAAGTTGTACGTACAGGCGAGTTGAACAATTATCACTTTTGCCAATATTTGTAGTTTGTTTATTATTAAGTGAAGGCTGAAGGAAATGTTTAAGGATCCCAATATAAAAGCATAGATCACAAAAAAGTGTTTGCAAATAACTTATTTAAACTCGACTCCACTTAATGTTCTTTTAAGTTTTCAGTACGTCTGTATTTAGGGTACCTACTCGTATATACGGGCTTAGGGTGCGGCCAGAGTGCACTCAGATTCAGAGTCAGATTCAGATTCTGAAAACAAGCGCGAGAAATAAACAGTGTAGTCTAAGCAGGTTGCCTGCTTTTTCTCGCGCTTTGTTTTCTGAGTCTGAATCTGAATCTGAATCAGGAGTGCACTCTGGCCGTACCCTTCGATTACAGTGTTTATTTCTCGCGCTTGTTTTCGAAATCTGAATCTGATTCTGAATCTGAGTGCACTCTGGCCGCACCCTTACACAGTAAATGGTTATAAAGGTGTTGTGTAAGTAGTTGTGTATGAAAGCATGTAAAAAGGAGTGATTGACAAAATTTTAGAACAGTGAATGTAGTTTTACTTACACTGTACAAAGATTAGGAATATTCGTCGTAAGTATTAGACGGTCAAATAATAGCATTGAATTTATGATTATAACCTCATTTTTAAATAATATGTACGCTCCAAGTACTTAAGTAAATCTTTGTAATCAGGGAACGCCCGAAAAGAGTACTTAGGGTTCAGTAAAAACCTATATATTTTATGAAGTGAGTTCTATATATGATTGTACTTATATAGTAGGTTACGTCATACTTCATTTATTTCTGCGGTTTAGGTGCTGTTTGGAAACAAAGCATTTTATGTTTTTCTCTAACAATCGACCGTTATCTTAATACGAAAAGATTATACTCATAATTTACTTGGGCATTATAGATGCTTCCAATATTATGTACCTATCTAAGTAGGTATTTATTTGTACCTACTATATGCACGAGAAAGCTTGGTTCTTTTCCTTCGCTTCGAGTCTAGGCATTAAATTGAAATTTGCTTGACAGACTAGGGTATAGACTCTTTTAAGCAGCTCCAAACGTGTCACTTTCCACTATCAAACAAGGAATTCCGAGTTTGCTTTGGTCGGATATTCTCAAGATGGTTCTCATTGAATATGAATACGTGCAAGACTTCTTATTCATCGCTGATAGAACACGCGCCATTGTGTTAACGAACGCTTAACTTACACTAAATAAGACGTTTCGGGGCATTACCTACTCGTAGATAACTAGCTATGTAAAGACAATTGGTTCATGACATAAAGATGGGTAAACAATCTCATAATTTATCATAAACGTAAGCGGAGTGTTGATCATAAACATCATTTTTAGTTCCTCTAACGTAAAACGATATATATGTAGGTACACCACATAGTTTTAGTATAATTAGAGTTGCTAGATGCTGGCTTATCAATTCCGGGTCATTTGCACCCCCTCCCCCTGAAAAAATAAAGCATCAAATCAAATCCCCCATCACCCCACAGAATTAAAACATCAGGCAGGTGTCATTCGTTATTAGTTAATTTTGATACAAAACTAGCAACTATCGGAATCCGGGACAATAAGGTTTAATTTACTGGACACGGGACAACACGCAAAATTCCGGAACAATCCCGGAAATCCCGGCCATCTGGTTACCCTAAGTACAATCCTCAGCTACTATAGATATTAATTTGATAAGTTTTCTGCGACATTTAGAAGTATTTTCACACTGGGTGTAAAGGTAAATAATATATAAGTACCTACCATTATTTATTTTGATAGATTATATAATATTGTCGATTTAAAAATGATATACCTAATGAATAATGATACATGTGTATTTACGATGATTTACCTTTTGTAAAAGGCTTAATATAGGTCCTGAAGTTTGTTTTGTTTACAGCCCAATGTGAGTATCAATTATTTTCTAGCGCTCAGCAAAATAATTAAAAATACTCAGATTATTTTTAAAACTTTGCATTTAAGTGTTTCTAAAACACACAGTGTTGTATTGAAGAAGAAGCATACAAACTTTGTTTCTACAATTATTTTGCTTACAATTATTGTAGAAAGAGCTGAAAGTTTATCTACCTGTAATTATTGACACACTCAAACGTTGCAACAATAAAGTTTAAATAATTGATACAGTAGATAAGTAAGTAAGCAGTAAAAAAAATTCAAAATTCAATATCTTATTCAGTCTAGGCTGTTACAAGCACTTATGAATGTCGAAAAGCTACGCCATCGGTTCGCAAAACTACGGCGGGAGACCTTGTACTGAGAAGAACCGGCAAGAAACTCAGCAAGGGCTGCTTTTTTCTCCCTGTTTTATTTCATACAGTGTCGTCCAATTGAAAGTTGACATCAAACTTGCAAACATGTGTTGAGGTCTTCCATCACATAATGTCAAATATGTAACAAACAATAGACAATCAACGAATTTACTAACAATAAGTGCAAGTAAATTATTTTAAATAAAAATTTAAGACAATTCATCAAAGATATCGTTGTGAGTAATAGAAAAATTCGGCGCTGGTATCAAAGCGTTATTTAGCAATACCTGTATCTTCGATCCACTTCAACATTCACCAATTTAAATTTGGCCCTTAATATCTCCTTGTCCATAAGGGGGCGTTATCGTCCATTTAGAGAAAAAGTGGTGTAGATCAATAGGATTAGGTTAAGCGGAAGTGGTAGGTACTGCCTACCTACCTGATATAGCAATTTGTTAAAATGGTGATCACCTATCATTAGTGATCAGGGCTAAGAATCCACGATTTCCTCCCGCGCACACCACGTTTGCGGGCCCGCTACTCGCGTAGAATGTTAAATTGTACGTAAAACGCAAAAGTAAGATTCACCGCGCGATTTATGCCCGCTGCGGACGCGGGCGGGTCGATTGGCGAGCTTCGACCGCAGAAAACTGCGGTGTGATGATCTTTAAACTATGCGGCGCGGGAAACCCGCGTCGTGAGTTCTTAGCCTAAGATTTACTTCTTCTTCGCTGTTAAAATATAATTTTCCATGATTTGATCAGGTGATCGGCGGTTTGATGATAGTGCTGGGCATCTCCGTGTACTCGCACTACCACAGCTTCTCGTTCCTGTACGAGACGGCGAGAAGCGGGCGCTTCCTCACGCCCTCCGTCATGTGCGTCTTCATCGGGCTGGCACTCTTCGTCATCTCTTTCTTCGGGTTCTTCGGCAGTCTCAAAAAAAGCACGTGCTTGGTGAATATGGTGAGTCCTTCAGTTGGAAAGATCAATGACGATAAGTAGGTAGACATTCGAGAAGTTCGGATATTCTGGTCTCCATTAGTGATATATCCCTGGTCTATGGCTTATTGGGGCTTAATAACGATAATTAAACAGTCTACAACTGTCTACTAGCCGCTTAAGTATCCAAAGACTTAGTAGTTCTGCGAGTTTAACAAAATATTCAACGCTTAGAAACCCACGGCATGTTTAAAGAATTATCTCATATTAATTTCTTCTTAAACTCATGTTTCAAAACTCGACATGTTTTTAGTGGTCAGGCAAATCGCGACTTACTTTTTTGTAGTACTTTTTAACTTAGTAATTTCTAAATATATTTAATTTTAAACATTATTTTATTACAATCCCCCCTGGTAGATATATAAAGCTACATTTTATTTTAGAGAGGTAGGGCACAGCGTATTTGCCGCTTGAATGGGAGCACCCGTCTGGGGAAGTAACCTTCAACTTATAGAAGATCACAGTAAAAAAACACTACCATTTTGGCAGAGTTGTGTTTCTGTTGGTGAGTAAGGTTCCAGGCCTCCACGTGGTAGAGGATAGTGTCAGAGCAGAGCGTTTATAGGATATGGTGGCCGCTTATCATCAAGCGGGTCATACGCTTGTTTAACACCCTTTTAAGACAAAAAAAATAACTTAGCTCCTTTGTTTTTTCTCCATTGCACGCTTTGCTTAATTTGAAATTTTTAATACCTACATCTTGTTGTTCTCTTACAGTATGCACTGATTCTTTTGAAGATTATGATAGTCAACTTGGTTGTGGTGATATTGGTTTTCACCAAAAACTATGAAACCATCAATAAAATGATCTACATTCCGATCGACCAATATGTCCATGATGCTGAAGTACAAGCGGAAATAGACACAATGCAAGTTTCGGTGAGTACTTTAGAAGATCTAATATTTCGACCAAGAAGCAAACAAGTTAATTTTGATTTCGACAAATCTGCAATGTTCTGAGAACGAGCGTGTTCATTAGTTCATGTGAACGAGTTATGGTGTCCTTAATCATAGTCTCAGTGCCTAGTTCAAAAACGGTTGCTTGGAATTTTTCCAACTGCTAGCAGTCACACCAGTGTATAAAGCATATGGGCTAACAATATGTAAACGTACAGGGACTGCGTATAAGTATGATTTATAATCACGTCTATGTTAGCGCGATAGGAGCATAGCAGGCCAAGAGATGTGAGCGTCTTTTGCACTAGCGACGAGGCAAATCTTGGCAACTTGGTCTCCAACGCGGGCCACGAGGGCTTAAGTTGATTAGAATATAAAAAAAAGTACGGTTCAACTCAACATTTAATTTATGTTTCCGAGTCAGTATGAAAGACGAAAGATAGCTCGACAAAGTCAATAAAATCATTATTCAGACGACGCACCTGTTCAGGATGAAACGTCAATAAATAAATAAAATCAGTGCATCTATACCGTTCAAACTTGTTTTATTTAATGAGTACTTTAGGACCATTTAAAATAATGTATGTAACGTTTATCATTCCAGCTGAACTGCTGCGGAAAGACATCATATCTCGATTACGCCCATATGGAGTTCTCCAGTAACCAATCGACCGTTCTGGTGTCAGAGGAAATGAACGGTGAACTGTTGACCTTCAGAGTGCCCGAAAGCTGCTGCGCCTCCCAAAGCGAGACGAGCTGCCTCCGTCTGCGCCCCAACAGCTGCGCGAGGGTCTTAACTGTCATAGTCATACAAAACGCGAATGTGCTCGGTGTCCTAGGAGTTTCTGTAATGTTTATATTGGTAGGTGTACATTTGAAGACTTGTGTTTTATGGCATACGTTCTAGTGAGATGTCTATTTCAGCTTAACGTATATGTTACTTCCTACTTGGTAGTGTGACCTTCCTGGTGGTAGTGTAGCTAGATTAACTATTTTCATCATCATCAGCGCTTCTCCATATTGCTGTGGTAAAGCTATCCTCATTTCCATGGGATCCATGATGGGATGGTTATTCCACCCGGAATAGAATGTGATAACGGATCGTGCATGATCCACCAAGTGTGATTGGTGGGTGTTAGCTTACGACTACAGATACATCCGAGAATCGTATTTAACTCCGGAAGCAAGGACAAGCTCATGCTAGATAATAAATTTTTGGACACCCATCTTAGAAGAGTAGGATCGGTAATTGCGAAAGTTGCTAAATTTCTACGATCGGAGATCGAAGGCGATAACCAACACGCCATCGAGATGCTATTGATTCATATTATTCTATAACATTATGGTTCCTGCATCAAGCACTCATACTAATTGTTTGCGCGTTACAGCGACAAAGTGTCGGTTTAAAGTTAATGAAAATGGACTATAAGGTATGCGGTTCCAAACACGAAATTAGAAGTAGGATGCGGTGCGTGTGGTACAAAAGAGGGTTAAAGGTTACCTGGCTCTCAATGCTGCTGCTACTGTAATTCAACCTGGCGACCAGCCAGCGGCTTGGGCTAGTGATCCGTTCCCTTTTTTTCTTCGTACGCACTTGTAATTCTTGCTTATAGTTACACACACAATCGATGCACATAAACAGAAGTTAAGTTAACCTATGTCCAGCAGTGGACGAACATGGGTTGATGATGATGATGATGAAACAGAAGTTAGTTCCCTTTATATTAATTAGGTAATTAGAACTTAGCGGTTTGCACGATTTTTCGGCGCGGGAGAGAAAAATTCGTTGCGGTAGCTAGCTCGGTTCGCGATACAGTGTCTTCGTCTTCGCCGATGATCCTATCCCTTTTTCTTGGTCGCGGCGTAGCGTGCGAGAGCGAGAGGGAAGGATGGGAAGAAAAAGGTGTAGCACACGCGAAATAATTAAATTATGAATATTGAAACAATGGCGCGAACACTAATAGTCGAGGAGCCCAAGCGGGATTTTTGGATTTACTCGAGTGTGGCAGATTATCATATGGGGGACAACCTTGCCCCTTGTGAAGTACTCCCACCATACCTGAGCCTTCTATGTAGTGACGAACGTCTACAGGGCACCAAAAAATTCAGCAATATGCCACGACTTTTGATCTCGTCCAGATCGTCAGTATTTTGAATAGACGATAGCGGAGGGTTATACCTTCATTTGATTGCAAACTTATTTGACGCAGAATTCAATCCACTTAATTGATGAATAACATAAAAAAATCCGGCGGATAAACCATTTTCTAGCTTCAAGAAAATAAATGTAAAACGATTTCCGGCTTGCTGGGAATTAATCCCTCAAAATGTTTTTTCTTATCATATTTTTTTTTGGACTAACTATATAAATGAGATCTTTAATCTTTACTTATTTGTGAACTTTCTTACAACTTCAAGAAAATATTTCTATCTAGGTTATATTAAAACAAACACTCTTCATTTCCTTAATAAAGGGAAGTCTTCTTTATTTAAGAACAAACTAGGTATATGTAACAGATATGTCTTTAAAAATATTTAGGTATTGACTATGGACAAATTTCCATTTTATTTTAACGTTGAATTAACTGTTGTGAAAACATCCTTCTAGTTGCTGGGAATAATTTTCGCGTTGCTGCTGGCCCGCTGCATTCGTAAAATGAAGAGCGAACGCGCATTAATGGCCTGGAAGATCAGGGAGCAGCTGATACTGGCGCGGAAGGATGAAGAGAATCGGTTGAACAACTCTCTTTATATTACGCCACCCGAGTCAAGTCTAGCTTAAGATGAAACCATAAAGTTAAACCCGTTACAGTATGTTTAGAGGACCAAGCACGAATTTTGACTAAATATCTTATTGTCACTGTCCAAACTTTGTATGGAAGGAGCCAGCATGTTCTTATATCTGGGGGCCATTCGCCTAACGGAAATGTTTTGGAAAACGCTAAAGCTTACGATTTCATTTTGTTATTTCTAGCCGCCTTAGGTTTTTTAATGCCTCGCACTCTTTTTTTTCTTTTGCATTGGTAATAACAATATAAAAAAAATGAGCGTGAGGTATTTGAAAACCTTCGGCGGTCATAAATAACAAAATAAAATCGAAAGCGTTAACGTTTTCCAAAGCATTTCCGTCAGGCGAATGGCCCCCTGGTAGGGGGGCTGCTTAGTTTTCATAGAAACTTTCATGATACAATAACGGAGCTGTCAAAGTTGGTGCTTGGACCTCATGTAGGTACGCCTATCACTATAATTTCATCTCTATTGCCATGCCATTATCTAGCCTGGGGACATACTGTATGTATGTGATGTCCCGCTCTAACAATGGGACTTAAATGGCGTTAAGAGTTCCTCCACACTGTTTGAGTATGCTAATTATCAAGAACAAAGAAGAATATTAAAATTCTAATTTCCATATGACGCTGTGCTCGTCGGCGGAGTGCTAAAATTGAAAGCAACACTGAATTCTTTATGGAATTGTATTACAGAACAGCTGACGCGTCAAATGACTGTGGTCTAAAGAGCTCAATACAATATAAAAAACCTTGGGAAATATACCTTCTTGAGAGCAATTAGTTCTTTTTAAGTTTAGAAAGTTCTTGTGGTTTCGATAATGGTCTTATTTTGTGTGTTTTACAGTTTTATTCAGTCAAAAGTTAAGGTAATTGTTGTTTTTTTAACATTATTGAGGGTTTATCATTAAAATATTTTTTTGCTTTAACATTAATATAGATACCTACTAAATATTTGTGTGTGTAATCTAACATAACTTTTTATTATATTATATTATTTGTCTATAAATATTACTTTAAGAAATAAAAAACTTAATATATAAGTATCACAACTTCTTGTCTTTTATTTGGAAAGTTCCTATTGCTAATTATTCTGCTTGTTTTATTAATGTGAATAAAAATTTTACGGGAAAAAATCAACTTGTGGAAGGACAATCCTCAGTCCTCAATAGTCCTGCCTGAAACCTTATTTTTAGATTCCTTTTCTGCAGTCATAGTGAAGAATGCAGTAAGAGCACTGACATGATTTTGAGAAAATGGTGTTTGAAGTTTGTATTAAAGATAAAATGAAGGAATTTTAAATATCTTATCAGTTCTACACTGATATCATTGACTGTTTAACAAGGCTCGTGTTGAATAATAAATTCACTCTTAGATAATAAAAGTTGATATTATTATTATATATTAATACAATAAATAAGTTGCATGTGCTACAAATACTGAAATGATTACTGAAGTCAACTATTTTTTCTATTCTTATTTTCATGATTTCTATGGTCCCAGAAAGTTTTAGCTTTTTCTCTAACTTCATTTCCAATAGCTTCATCTAAGCCACCAGGCATGTACGGAGGTGTAAACTCTCTGTATGCAATGCATACCCTACGAGAAGTAATATCTTCACGCAGCACAGAGTGTTCCCAATGGTATCGTGGTTCGCCATATATAACCAATAGTGATCGTCTGAAAGCAAACAATAGTCATTATGATTACAGAAGTTTTTACCATTTTAAATAGAAGACATTTGTTTTAAAGCGGTTTTCCTAAAACTTGGCCTTCTGCTAATTACTTTTATTTTTGTCAGGAAAAAAATTATGGTGAATTTAATAAAATTTAAAGCAAAATTAGATTTTTGTGTCGATTACACCATGTATTGAGGATTTTTCAATTTATTTTTTGCTTATCTACATCACTATTAATAAACAATTTCTGTATCAAGTTCAAAGTGAAGATGATGCATTTATATATACACAAAATAACTTGTTAAGGTTTTTTTAATTTTCACAAATATTAAAAGTGTATTAAAATTAAACCATTTGAAATAAAGTGGATGATGAAAAAGTAGTATCATAGTTATTTAGATATTAAATTATACCTTGGCATCGGAATCCTAATTATAACATTGTGGTCATTCACTGGTTTGCTAATGTCTAATGCTGTCAAGTTACTTATGTTACTAGTCATAATACATCCATCCTGATCAATTATAGGCTCATAATTATCAGCACAAGGCAAATTGTACTTCTTGTAGTCTCCGCTGTATCTTGTCATTGTGAGAACGGAGTCTGATAGACAGTTTACAGTCACTATCCTCTCGCCCCATATCCAACAGTCGTCTATATGAGGGTCTATAGAAGCTCCTTTACTAGAGTCATACTCCAGGGAACACTGCTCAATGACTTGGTAACCTTTTAAAATATCAACAGCATGAAACCTCTCTTGTAAGAACTTTGAAAAGTTTGGGAATCCATTAAATTGACCAACGGTAACCTTTCTCTTCTTGAAGTTTGTTTTAGGGCCGAAATTTTGTTTCCGCCTGCCGCTTTGTGATATATCCCAAGGCATCTCGTCGATATTTTTCATTAGCTCCATTTCTTCTTCTTCGTTGATGAAGTCCAGTTTTATATAAACTCCAGAATAGTCTATACAGTGTCCTTCGTGGTGAGGATGTTGCTTATATAAATCCATGTCCCAGCCTTGCCAAGCTTTATTGCAAAATGGGCAATAAACATAACCTATGTTTTTATCTAGTTGTAATTTCAATTTTAGGGTTTCAGCGCCGTAATGAGTTTCACAAATCAAACACGTCCTACAACCTTTACAACCACATGGCCTAGGCTTCGTCATAGTTTTTCTTTCCATTTCTATATAATTTAAATTAATTAAGTTCTACGATTAAGATTAAATATTTAATGTCATTGTGACATTAACACTTTTTTGTAATATTCTACCCATTTAGGGAATGCAAGGGGAACTAACGCCCATACAGCCTCGTCTTTAATTTTCTTTTTTCACCCTTTTATTTATTTATTAGAAACTTTTCTTCATAAACCATTTAGTTTAATTGAATAATGGTGCCAATTCTGGCGTGATTCTCTAAACTTATCTGTATAGAAAATGACAAGGATATACTGCTATCAAATTTAAGTTTAGGTTTAGAGAATCATGCTAGAATCGACACCATTATTATTGTTTGTTTTATGTGGAAGACTACTTGTTACTTTTATTTTTAATTATTTTTTTATTTTGAATTTTAAGAACACCATACTAAGAGAACATCATAATGACAGACAGACATAAGACAACAATACCTAGAACCCCGCAGCACTTCACCCTGGCCATATCCGTCAAACATCCATGCAGTATCTCCATCATACTACAAAGAACGAAAGAGATGCAGCACCAATATTCGAAAACAACGTTGTCCATGGTGAAGTGCCATACAAACCCATTGATATCCATAGGTACATCACACAAATATTAAAAATGTAAAGAAAAAGATTTCAAATAGTCATAAAGAGTGTAAAAAATATATTTGAAAACGCATAAATATTTACCGATTTTTAATATAGAACCATCTCTGATTGGTTCATATATTTCGATAAGCTCATATATCAACGCAAGGCGCTGAATGCCAAAGGATGAGCAATCCGCAACACAGTAGCGGCGCTAGGCGTCGGCGACGTCGGCCACCGCCGATGGCCTCGCGCCTGAGGGGGCCTCGCAAAATTTTTTTACAAGTTAGTTTCGTTTCTGCTGGCCTGGCTTAGGTAGTCAACCCCGAACAATTCGGGGAAAAAGCTAAGCAGATGATAATGACTTTCATTATTTTCGAACATGTGCGTGATGGAAGCGAGTAGTACTTTACAGATATTCAGAATCGTCTGTCTGGCAATACTATTTTTGTAATTAAATTTCTATGTTTATAATTATTTTTTGTCATCATTTGATTATTATCAACAATAAAACTCGTTTACTCATACGTTATTTTATAATTTGGCTCACTTAATTTAACGGTTTTTTACTGCGAAGTAAAATAGGCCTCGCGAACTTGATGTCGCCGACGTCCACATGTGGTCTAGCGCCGCCACTGCCGCAACACATGAGACAAAGACTGTTCTGATGCAGCGTTACAATAATTACAATGTGAACTCTGCACCATTTTTAAGCGAAAGAGTTGAAAGACATTGACAATGCTAACGGCAGAAAATATCTTAAGTGATGATATATGAAACGTATGGAGATGGCATACCTACGAAGAAAACACGTATACCTTAAGTTACTGGGCAACTAAAATGGCGCCTCTAAATAGAAGCTAGAATCGGCTTCTAAAGTGGCTGAAGCGCGCGACAGTGGCCGCCTCAGGTAAGGGAGAGAGAGGTGGGGAATCGCGCGAGTGACGTGTGGCGGCGTTTTCGGCGCATTAAGTGGCCAGTGCGGGCCACAAGAAGCGAGCAACGACGATTTGTAGCGTGTGGCGAGTCCATATAAAATACATTTTATTTTTCATACATGAAAACTACAAGAAATATGCCGGTGGCGGCGTTTTATGGTTGTTGTCGGTGGCCCTTGTGCGGCGACACTTACGTACTCAGAGTGTCATGGCGCGTCAGAGAGGTATCGGTTGCATACGTAGACATCGGTCATGCATGCCAGACAGAATCAACACCACAGTATCATATTTATAGTTTTTTTTGTCAATAAATCAAGTTCGAGGTTGTTACTTATGCTATTAAACAGTGGCTAATTAGTGCAATAACAAAAAAAAACTTCCTCTTTAGTTTAGAAATTAATGGTGTCGATTCTGGCAAAATTCCCTAAACCTAAAATTTGTCATTCTCTATACAGTATTAAAAAAACAAATCCTTGAACAACACCAACAAGCCCGCTGCGTCCTCGGATGCGCAGGCTAAGCAACCACACACGGCTGCGTCTTCGGATGCGCCGAAGCCCGCTGCTTTGGAAGCGCAGGCTACCCACACGCACACGGCCGCGTCTTCGGATGCGCCACGTACCAACACCGTCACGACACGGGAAGTCATGGACCTATCAGCTATCGGTGCCGCAATCCCGGATACTACCCCGAAGGGGACTGCGTCCTGGAGCGTGGAGGTCCGGAGTAGAAAGGTCACTGACAAACCGTCCGTGAAACCACCCAAGAAACCGTTGCCACCGCCGAAGAAGTCGTTGACCGATGCAACACCGGCCAACGTACTCCGCAACAGACGACGCGCGAAAGCGCGCTTTATTGCGAGGCAGATGCGCGCGCTGGAGACTGGGGGAAGTAAGCAGCCAGAGGCTGCTGAAGAGTCCGCTGCGACTCACGCCGCCCGTGTAAGCAAGGAGCCCACCGGTACGGCTGGCGCCAGCCGGCCAACTGGTGAGAAACCTGCCGAAAAGGCACCTAAGAATCCGGACGACGAGCAGCAAGGCGACGATTTGTTGCGACCGCGCGGCAAACGATCGGGACAAGCGCGGAACAACCGGCCAAAGAAGTCCCATTCGATACCCTCGAAGAGAGGACGTCCCGATGACACTATATCGCCCAGAGGGGATACCAAGAGGCCAAAGACAGGTCCGAAGGGTTCAGCTGTAAATTACGCGGACGCATTGAAGGTCAATGACCTCTGCGTCGCAGTAATGGCAGAACCATTTCAGGACCTGACTGAGGTACAGGCCTCTAAAATCGAGGAAGACATCGAGGGGGCTCTGGATGAACAAATCTATGGACCGTCCACGATGTCATCCCGCTCACCGGCATTCCGTGGCAAAGCCTTCTGGTCGGAGGGCGTCCTCAAACTTTGGTGCGAGGACGACTATTCGCTAGAATGGTTGCGCCAAACAATAAATAAGATCAGGTCTCCCATCTCGGGAACCGTATTGACGGTAAAACGTCAATCGGAGATTCCGAAGAGGGTGAAGGCCTCCATTATTGTGCCACGGTACAAGGGCGAAAACCTCGACCAATTGAGGATGAGGCTGGCCGCCCAGAATCCGTGGTACAATATTAATCAATGGGCGCTGTACCACGCGGTGAAGACGGAGGAGAAGGAGGAGCTGTTCATCCTGGTGGGTATACCCCAGGATGATGTGGCGAAACTTCTCGCGAGGGATAGACGCGTTGCTTATAAGCTCGGGTCTATCTACGTCCGCTTCTCGTCGGGGGCAGCCGATCGACCGTCCACGGAGAAGATACCACCGGCCACCATACCGAACCTACCGAGGGAGGCCAACGTAGGACAAGGCGTGAGTATGGCCAACAAAACATCGGCCTTGACACCGACAACATCGGCCTTCAACCCATCACCGGCCCGTCAATCCAGCATGGAAGAGGAGGGTGCTGAACGTATGGACTGGTGGCTAGAGGGTGAAAAGGCGACGGAAGAGGAAGCGAGAGCGGGTAGTTCGATCAGTCAAGATGACGATCAACAACCCAGCCCCTCTCTTTAACATCATACAGTCCAATCTCCAACACAGCCAGACAGCCACGGCAAACCTTCGGCGAGTGTTGGAGACAAACACCAAGACCATAGCCCTCATCCAAGAGCCGTGGATCAGGGGTGAGAGGATCTGTGGTCTATCCAACATTGGAGGCAAACTACTCCTAGACACTACCGTAAGTAAACCACGTACATGCATCTTTGCTCCAAAACATGTGAAAACCGTTTTAATTACCGAGTTCTGTTCCAGGGACCTGACTGCTATCAGGCTCCTCAGTGATACACCTAGCCTCCCCGAGGTGATTATAGCGTCTGCCTACTGTCCGGGCGACGCCGAAATCCCCTTACCGGAGTTCGAAAGGCTGGTGACACACTGTGAGCAAGAGGGACTGGAGCTTATCATCGCCGCTGACTCCAACGCACATCACACACTTTGGGGCAGCCACGACACCAATACCAGAGGTGAGGAGTTTTCTAGCTACCTTTTTTCAACAAACTTAAAAATTATCAACAGAGGCTCTGAACCTACTTTTGTTACATCAAGAGCCCAGACAATAATCGACCTTACCCTAACCAGTGAGAGGACTGCTGAATTCATCACTGACTGGCATGTATCCGACGAAGCATCTTGCTCGGATCACAGATGGATTAGGTTCTATCTTCATATAAACAATAAACCACCAGAGCCCCGACGCATTCCACGTAAGACTGACCGCAAGAAATTCTCTTCACTAATCACGGCCAGTCTGAAGTGTCTCCACTTGCCAGCGGATTACAAAAATCCAATGGAAATAGACACACATGTGAATAACCTAACATCAATTTTAACCGTCTGTTATGAAAAATCATGCCCACTAGTACAGCAACGCACAACAGCCAAAGGCAAACACAATTGGTGGGGTCCTGAACTGGATAAGTTGCGACGTAGGGCAAGAAAGATGTTCAACAGAGCAAAAAACACCAGACTCGAACACGACTGGATCCTCTACAAGGAGGCACAGTCACGCTACAAAAAATGCATCCGCTTCAGAAAGGCTGAATGCTGGAAGCGTTTCTGTAGCGATATCCAAGACAACAATCATGCCGCAAGAGTGAGGAAAATACTAAGTAGCGATCCCGAGCGCAATTTGGGTTACCTCAAAAAGGCTGATAATACTTTCACAAAAACCGACGCTGAAACCTGTGAGCTGCTGATGCATACTCACTTCCCAGGCTGTAATACTAGAGACGACCAAGACTGGGAAGATGAGATATCCGCGGTTCCGGATTTAGCTGACTGGACAACTGCACGCAAAATCATTAAAATCAACACATTAACTTGGGCCATCAAAAGCTTCCTCCCTTTTAAAGCAGCTGGTCTGGATGGCATCTTTCCGGGCCTACTGCAATGGTGCGAGGAATCGATACTCGAGCATCTACTGCGAATATACACAGGATGTCTTGCCTATCGATACATACCCACCAAGTGGAGAGAGGTTAAAGTTATATTCATACCCAAACCAGGCAAAAGTGACTACACGCAACCTAAAGCATTCAGACCGATAAGTCTCACATCATTCCTCCTAAAGGTGCTGGAGAGAATGTGTGACAGGAACTTGAGAGATGATGCTCTAAAGCGTGTACCACTTCATGCAAACCAACACGCCTACAGCATGGGAAAGTCCACCGAATCCGCATTACACAACGTAGTCAGACAAATAGAACGTGGATTATCACCAAAACAATCAACGCTCGGGGTCTTCATTGACATCGAAGGCGCCTTTGATAAAACAAACTTTACCAGCATCAGCCAAGCACTTGTCAGACATGGAGTTGACCCCACGACTGCGGGGTGGATCAACAACATGCTAAAATACAGAGCAATACAAGTGACTGTGAACACTACGAAGAGAGCTGTAGTGGCACGGGGTTGCCCACAGGGAGGCGTTTTATCCCCTCTCCTGTGGAACATTGTGGTTGACGAATTAATTTGCCAACTCAATCAACGCAACTACTACACAGTCGGCTATGCGGACGACCTAGTTATCCTCATAAGCGGGCCATTCCAGAATGTGCTGTGCAACTTAATGAGTAACGCTCTCAAAATAGTTGAAACATGGTGTACTAAACACCAACTATCGGTGAACCCGACCAAAACAGAGATGGTCATGTTCACGAAAAAACGTAACTTGGATACCGTTAAATTGCCCAAGTTATTTAAAACCGAACTGTCTATGTCAAGCGAGGTCAAATATCTAGGCATAGTTCTTGATCATAAGCTAACATGGAACAACCACTTAGACCAAAAGATAAACAAAGCCTGTATCACGTTTTGGCAATGCAAAAGATTACTTGGTAAAACCTGGGGTCTTGCACCAAAAATCACAAAATGGCTTTACACAACCATAATCAGACCACTCATCACCTACGGTGCAATAGTTTGGTGGCCTAGAACTGAACTAAACACCGCAATTAATAAACTGCAGCGTTTTCAAAGACTAGCTTGCTCTGCTATAACAGGCTGCATGAAATCTACACCTACAAATGCCCTAGAAATAGCGCTCGACATCCCGCCACTCGACCTGTTTATACAACAGGAAGCAACTATGGCAGCGCTAAGAATGTACCATCTGGGCTTGTGGACGGTAAACCAGGGACCTCACTCCAGAATTCTGGAAAGGGCTATACAATACCAACCTATGGTAACAGCCCGCTGTGATAAAATCCCGACTACTCATACATTTGATAGAAGATATCAAATAGAACTACTAGAAACCAACAAGGACTGGTCGGGCACAGACGAACTACGCATTTACACTGATGGATCCAAAATACCAGGATTCGGATCAGGCGCAGGAGTCTTCTCACTGGACCTTAACATCCATATATCAACAGCACTGGGTGATTACAGCTCAATATTTCAATGTGAATGTATAGCCATTACTCAGGCCGCCACCGCTGTCATTAATAGGAAAGTCAAAAACTACAAGATACGTATATTATCTGATAGTATGGCTGTCCTAAGAGCCCTAGATAGTAACAGCAAAACTTCTGGGCTAGTATACGAATGTCACCTGGCATTGGAGCACATAGCAACGGATAACAAGGTTATCCTCCAATGGATCAAGGGACATAGCGGTTCTGTGGGTAATGACGCAGCCGACGAACTAGCTAGAAGGGGATCATCACAGAAAGTGGAAGGCCCTGAGCCACTTCTGCCATTACCCTTCAATCAGTTTCGTACATGGATGCGGCAACGAACCACACAGAACCATAACACCCGTTGGGCGAATACCGAGGGCTGCAGGCAATCTAAGGATATTCTTCCCAACCTCAACCCCAGACTAACTAGGAAACTACTAAATCTTAACCGAAATGATCTCCGAGTAATGCTAGGCACCATAACAGGGCACTGCCCACTTAACAAGCATTTACTAACCATACGCGTTACAGATAGCTCTCTATGCAGAGGATGTCTGGAAGCAGATGAAACGGCCGCTCATGTGATCCTGGAATGCACGAGCGTTGCAGAACACCGGGCATCAATCCTCAGGAAGCCGAGGACGCTCCTAGAAGCCTGTGAGAGCCCCAGGAGGCTACTGCGCTTCTGGAAGGAGCTGGGCTGGCTGAGCTAGCTAGCCCAACACACCCTGCACGCACAATGGACCAAGTACGGAGTCTACGTGCGGAAACGGGGGCCCACAACAAGTAAGTATTAAAAAAGGGCCCTTAAATTTAGTTTTAAGTTTAGAGAATCACAACAGAATTGAAACCAATATATGTTTTCATGGTGAGCTGGCGTTAGGATCAAGGTAGCGTACACCAAGCCATTCTTGAAAACGGCTTATTGTTAAGTAACCAAACTTTCACAGAAAAAGTGCTCTAATAGTGCCCACACTGTGCAAAATAATCATAATCATATCTCATAACGTAACAAACATATAGAACAAGACTTATGTATGACCTTTGGAGCTGACGTCATGGTAGCGTACCACAAATAATTAGTGCATAAACTAAGCGAACTTCTGTTTTAACATATTATGATATAGTGCGTGAAATTCTGCCTATTTTAGTATAAAAAGTGTATATTAATTCGCAAAAGAATAATAAGAAAATCTATGATACGTTCAGTTCATGGCAGAGGTACAGGCATGTTGAGGGGTGCTTTGTAAAGTTTTTTTTTAATACGGACAAAAGCGGAAAGCAATATCTGACTAAATACTGTTCAAGGAAAGTACTATATTAATTTGAAGATAAAATATAAATTTATATGAATAACTTTATCATGTAAATAATATTTATTTTGCTAAAAACAGTATTTTTTTATATACACCACATTGAGCTCGAGATTGTAACATAAATAACGGTGTGGTGTTACATACATTGCAAGCGAATACAACTTGCCGTCACCGCGCGCCGCGTCCGTAGGCCACATCTGTCTGTGAGACACTTAACTCTCATTATTATTTTGAAATAAAGAAGGACAACGGAAAGACGCAAAAGAAGGACTGACAGTAACAAAAAAGCTTCTAAAGTTCTTGAGATATGTGGTTTATTCGTAGAAATCTTTTCATCTGTCTATAAAAATAATAACTCCACTGCACCGTCAAGACCACAGAACACAGAAACCTCTTTCTGTGTTCTGTGGTCAAGACCCTCTGAAAGTGTTCCCGCGCTTACGAATAACTTTCTCACTGCTATCAAATTCAAAGACGTGTTAAAAGTGTTACAAACACTTGACCCTAGCAAGGGAGTGGGCTCTGATCATCTTCTTTCATTATTTATTGTGAGATGTGCTGCAGCCTTGGCGAAGCCCTTGTCTCTTTTATTCAATAAAACACTCACAACTGGTACTTTCTCGTCCGTGTGGAAAGATGCATTGGTTGATTCATTACATAAGAATGGAGGTAAAGATCTCGTTAAAAACTTCAGACCAATTTCAATTTTATCGGTTTCTGCTAAAGTATTCGAACAATTAATTAACTCTATTTAATCCTGACACTTTAAATAACATGCGCAGCTGCACTCGGCAGCATGGTTTCATGGCTAATAGGTCTACGACAACACATCTTACCATTTTCATAGCGCATGTTGTCTTCACCTATCATAATAACAATAAGCGTAAGCATTTTGTTATTACCTACTTGATTTTTGCCTCAATGTTTATTATTTTGGTGATCAAATAAATAAATAAATGTCATCATTTTTTTAAAGTCACCGTCGTCACTCTTAACGGTAGTTTACAAAACTCACCTTGTCTGTCCAACTATATCAAGTCACCCATAGAATGACATAATTTCATATTTTTTCAATTATTTGTAAGGTTGCCATGGGTATTGTTTCATAATTTAGTAAGTCCTTGGAAATAATTCAAATAAAACAAATAATGTAATTAATAATTATTTTCATTAATCATGCTAGACTAGACATTACAAAAAAAAGGAAGGTTCCTTCGTACATATATCCAAACGCGCATGCACGCGCTAATTTTTTTGATTCAAAATATTTATAATTACTCCTTATAATTTGATTTTATATCGAAATAGTTATAGATATTAGTGCGGTAAGTTGGTATTACAAACGAGTAGTACATATAGTATATTTTCGATAGGAGTTGTAGTTCCCCGAACATCACGATAAGTCGTGCAACTGTATAAACAATTTTCTACAGTTAGTGAAATGTCTTAAAATATCAGAAAATATATATGTTGGTTATGACGTCCCAAAAAAACTGTACCCTTAGCACGAACTAATATCGAATTCTAAGCGATTGCGAAATGTCATTGTCAAATGTGTACTGATTTTTAGTTCTCGTTACGTTACTTTGTGCCGCTGCTGTTCAAGTTTCCATACAAAATTTTATATTGACATTTCGGTTTGCAAACTATTCGAATTCGATAATGGTTCGTGCTAGGGGTACAGTACCCTTAGTACGAACCAATATCGAATTCGAATAGTTTGCGATTGCGAAATGTCATTGTCAAACGTGTACTGATTTTTAGTTCTCGTTACGTCCGTTGTAGCGCATCTGTTCAAGTTTCCATAAAATAAATTACATTGACATTTCGGACTCGCAAACTATTCGAATTTGATAATGGTTCGTGCTAGGGGTACTGCACACTTTTCTTTGTTTCGTTCAAGATATTGTTTATAAAATAAAACAAAGGAGAACGGGCAATTTGTGTGGGACCCAACTATTTTCTGCGGCCACATCAAGTCCTATTTATTACTTCCTTACAAATAGGTATCTTATTACTATAAACATATTTCTTAAACGTTATATTTTTGTTTTAACATGTAGGTAAATTATCTAAGTAACCTTAATATAATAAACCCTATCCAACAGTGTCCGTTTTACTTACAGGCCGCTCTATTTACCTATATGGACTCAATTTTCAGTTAGCAGCATAGTCCGTGAAAAGGGGGACAATTAAAAAAGATACTTTACAAATAATCTATTTATCATACATAACCAATGGCAACGTATCGTATCAACATATAAAAACTGTTCTTATGTGTTGATAGGGGGTTGCTTTTCTTTTGCGGTTTTAAGGGATTTAATAGATCGCATTAAAAATTACAAAATTCAATTCGTGGAAGCGAAGTGAAATTGTAGTAAGTAATCGCAATTTAACTCAGCTCACAGTAAACATCATCGCAATTTTTATTGTTGTTGTTGACTTTTGATACCGTGAATCCGTGAAATCTGATATTATCGCGATTAGGGAATATTCAGAAAAGATACGTACAGAATAGTTACTGATCTTACTTAATTATCGTCTACGTATTCATCATCTCGATGGAATATTATCGGAGTGGGATTATGCAACAGTCTGCCCATGTTAAGCGATCTGTTTGGATATTTCCCCATCAGGGGTTACGGACATGTTCATGCTGTTCATGACCCTCTCTCGGATCTCCCAGCGGTGACATTCGCGTTCAGACTTCACCTTTCGGATAGCGTTGGCCAGAGAGAACGAAAACGCGATACCGATAAGCTGGAAAACAAAAGTTTTTTAATACAAAGAAATAATAGAAAGAACATATAAATAAAAGCAATTCTATAAGTCAGCTTTGATGAATACGTGAATAAAGAACCTGTACGAAAGCCATGGCAAGCGCAACCGCTCCGAGCAAAACCGCGCTCTTGTGCAGTATATACGTCAGCTTTGGGAGGCAGCCGCTTGAATAACTGTAGAGACACGTCCGCATCCCATTCTCTACGACCAAGCCACCCTGAAACAGTTACTTCGCACGTCATGTTCTATATATTTTAAACCTTTTTTTTGGCTGAACGCTCTAATCCCAGGAACTAAGTACTGCTGCCAACGATATTCGTTGACTGCTACGGATTAATTATTTTTTAGAAAGACACTGGTGTCGATTCTGGCGGATTCTCTAAACTTAAAACTAAATTTAACATCAGTTTGTCCTTTTCTGTCTGTTTAGATTATGACAGAGATACACTGTTGTCAAATTTAAGTTTAGCTTTAGAGAATCATGCCAGAATCGACATTCGACACCATTGTCTAGGAAGGCTATAGGTCTAGGCTATACAATATATTATACAACGGTCAATAAAAGCGGAACATCAATGAAAAACAAGAAAAAAAAACCTACGATAGCTTCCGTGCCGAACTCATGCAGATAATCTAGAATGTGCAAGCACCAATAAAGTAACTGACCCTTACCTCAAATTGTGCACAGCAGGAGTACGGAATGGTCATGTTGTTGTAGAGTACGTTGATCACTCCCGGAGGCGGGGTCACTGCAGCCCAGTCTCGGAAAGAATCCGCGCCGCAGCAGTTCATCTAGAACGTTTATGAATTATGTAACTTTTCTTCATAATAATATGTAAGTTTATGTAAGATTTCTTCATGTACATCTAAGGCAATAAGATATTACAGCTTGGCACAATCGAGCCTTTTACATATATAACCTGGGGAAATGCTTGATGCAACCTAGTCAGTAGAAAATAGGTGAGCGGATTATGTTTTACTTTCCCTTGGCTCACGCACTAGACGAAAAAAAATCCCCTAGTCGGTAGGTACGGGTCTTTAACTGCTAAATTAAACTGCAGTTAATTGCTAAATGTGAAACACCGAGGTGGTGCAACCCATTTTTACATAATCGGTACTTTAACTGAACAGTTAAGATAAAAGTAAGTTGATGTAACTTATGCTTAAGTATTAAATTCTAACTATAGTCTGAAACTCACTGTCTCTTGCAAGTAGTCAATTTGTTTTAAAACTATTAGGTCCTCGTAGTAGCGGTTAATGTTCAGACGTAGGGTCTGGTCCAACATGTCATCGATCTTCCCTCGGAGACTGTACGCAGCTATGGATGCGGCTACTTCCAAGATGAGGACCAAGCTCAGCATTACTGCAAACTGGATGAAGAATAATGATTCAATTCAATTCAATTTATTGCATTCATGTGGTTACATAGATGGTTACATGTTACAAAATGCATAAAGTACCTAACATGAACCTTGTCAGGGTATCGCAATATAGATAAACTTTATTTCACAAAGCATGCATAAATGTCATCTGATTCCATTAATTTTATAACTTACTCAATTGATCTTATTTACAGTAGTAGTTTAATTTTGTAATTATTATTATGGAAATTCGTTTATAAAATTAAATTTGTCAATAATTAAAATTAATTAATATGTCAATTAAAATAAAATAACATGTCAATAAACATGATTATAGTAATCTAGGTTTGTATTTTAAAGATCGCCTCATTAATATTATTTTGTTGCAAAGTATTCATTTATGGCGTAGAAACATTTATCTAATAAATGTATTTTCAATTTTATCCTAAATGGGTTAAAATGTTTTTCGTTTTTATGTGAGCGGGTAATTTATTATAAATTTTTGTACACATATAATATGGACTGCTACTAAGTTATATAAATATCGATATAATAGAGTTAAAATTTTTTTCTTTGACACGATCCAGCAAAAATCAAAATAGATTTTATTAGGACCTTTGAGTATAAATGGCAAAGATAGCTTGATGCGGTAGAAAAACCATCCAATACCCTGAACTTAGTGATCCAAACATATTCCTCTACCTATCTCTAGCTCTGGTAACCATAATATTATTAATTAGCTCTAGTCTTCTGTAATCTAAAATTACTACGTCCACGGTTGTTCTAATTCGATCTGTTTTTCTATTTTACATGTTTTGTTTGACACTCAAGTCAAATTTAGATTAGAAAACTCGTAAATATTGTGTCTGGTCTTAAACTTGCTCGGCTAATAATGTTGTTATGATTATGCGCTTAGAACGTTATTAACATTATAAAGAGATTTTCATAAGTTTTTGTCATTCTTACAATATTAATAAGGCAAGTGCTCTCCTTAACGGTACCGATGCACCCGAAGATGGACACAATCAGCATGATAACGCCAATGGCGATGATAAAGCTGGCCGGCGAGTAGAAATGATTCTGGATGAAAAACTGGATCTCATCGTAGATAGCAAAGATGGACGCCCCCACAGAGATGATCAGCGCTGAAGTTAGCTGAAAATAAGGATTTTTTTTAGGTACAAGGCCAAGCAAATTACTCTACTCCAATCCCTTTAAGCAATGCTATTCTGTAAGAACAAACTCATTTTGCACTGCGGCACTCGCCTGTGTGATGCCAAATTCGTTTGAAATTCGTGTTCTAATTTTGTTTTAACAGAGAAGCACTGTTGAGGTATGTATGGGCATTGCTTTGATCGAAGGGACCAAGCGAAAGGTACTGCCCACACGTACTGCCACTGGGCATTTTGCGGTCTTAAACCTGAAACTAGATTTTCCCACATAGTGTATTCGGTAGATTTTCAAGGCATTTTTTTTCCGGTCACACTCTCCTTATTCCTCACCTATATTGTAAATATAGCCTTAAAATTGATACCAAATTATTCTTTATCAATATCTATATACAATTTTAATAAAAATAAGAGATATTTAGTATATTACATTTTCAAATATATTTTTAAGGTAGGAATCGGGAATAACACCGCTGTTCTTCGAGGGTCACACTATACGCGCTTGGAAAAACCTTTAATAATTTCTTGGATTTCAAAGCTTTACCTATGTTTTGTATGTGAAATAATGGTTTTTAACCAATGTTCAATAATGCCAAAAATAAGAAAAAAATGTGTGTGTCAGCTCCGACGCACGACTGGAGTTTACTCCTTAAGTTCGATAGTCTAACCAGACGCAAGAAGAGTTTATTTAACTTAAAAAAGATTGATACTGTATGAAAGGGTAAATTAACAAATTAATGAAAATAATATACATATATAAATATATATTTATTCATTTCATATACATTTATTATAACTAATCGACGAAATATTTTACATTAAACTTTTTACAATAGTCAATTTCAGATGTGCATAAATATACCATTAGGAATGTTGATAAATTATGTACCTAATTATAATTATCAGACTATTATCATTTTTTTAAATATTAATTAAATCAACATTGTCTGCATTATTAATTACAGTGACAAGTGGTTTATGGTAACTAAAATAAGACACATGGACGTTCGTAGATACGTGGTTCACGAATCTTGAAAATACCGCATCAATGGTTGTACCATACCTCGTTATCCCCATTGCTCTATCAGAAACATTATCTAAATTCAGTTCAGATTTTAAAAATTTTATAAATGTCAATCCGTCATCTTTGTTTGTCAAAGTTGCGCGACATAGGATGCGCACCAAAAACGTAACGAGGTCATTCATCGATAGATTTTACTCCTCACATTTTTCTCATACCGGGCCCCTTATATATGCAAATCGATTCTTAAGGAGTAAACTCCAAAAAAATATAGGTAAATTGAAAATGTTTTGTTAAAACTAAAACACAAGTTTTAGTGTCTTATATACATGGCTCATGTCTTTGAATAGTGCCCACATGTAGCTACAAGTTTTAGCCGCACGGATACGCAGTCGTACGCTGCTGAAAGATTCGTAGCACAGCAACTAGCAACACGTTTTATGTTTCTTGGTTCTTTAGAGTCGTCGTAGCCTACCTAAAACTATTCTGGCTGGGAAAACATAAAGCTTACATTCAGCAATGTCTCTCTCGCTAGCGAGTTTAACGTCGAATTGTCTTAAAGAATACCATGTCTTTTTATTTTAGGGTAAATTTTATAGGGAATTGACATGTAAAAGTTGGAAGGTCCAACTTTAGTTTTTAATTTTTTGATTCAAATCGATAGACGTATTGCTTGTCATGGCTTCTATACTTAAAGTACACGTGTCGATTCTAGCATGATTCTCTAAACCTAAACTTAAATTTGACACCAGTATATCCTTGTCATTCTCTATACAGAATGAAAAGGAGAGACTGATGTTAAATTTAGTTTTAAGTTTAGAGAATCACACCAGAATTGGCACCAATATTAACTTCCTTTGATAGGGAACACTATCTTATCTTATTATCTGGCTCAGTACATTCATATCGCTTAAAATAATGACGTCAGTCCCTATAGACTCGAATAGGAATACCCCAGAATTATTGGTAATTTGTATAATAAATACTGATAAGGTGAACAACGCACGAGCTGCAAATTGTGTTAGATGGCGGTCGCGCGGATGTTAATTTGTGTACGACACGACAACGCACTGGCACCGCGGCGGGTGAGCCATACAAATTGACATACGTGGCTAGTCTATATAAAATGTATGAAAACTACAGGAAATATGCCGGTGGCAGCGTTTTGTGGTTGTGGCCGGTGGCTCGTGTGCGGGAACCCTAAAAGTCTTTCGCGTGAGTCCGCGTGACTTTAAGATAAGTATATACAAAATGTAAATGCAGTGGGAAACAACTTGCCCGATGGCCGGTCATAAGATGAAGGACACAAAAATAAATGGGAAATATTTAAATGATACTCAAAAAAAAGTAATTGATCTCCAAAAAAATACAACAGGTCACCTAAAGGTTAGGTTAGATTACCATTGTATATTTTTGAAGAGCATTTAAATATGAGTCAAATTCTATTATTTTGAGCTCCTGCGGGTTTGAAAAGGTAAATGCGTGGGTCTCATCTGCATCTGATATTGTTAGCAACCACCAATCTATATAAAACTCAAAGGTGACTGACTGACATAGTGATCTATCAACGCACAGCCCAAACCACTGGACGGATCAGGCTGAAATTTGGCATGCAGGTAGATGTTATGACGTAGGCATCCGCTAAGAAAGGATTTTGATCAATTCTACCCCCAAGGGGATAAAATAGGGAATGAAAGTTTGTATGAAACTTTGTCAATTTTAAACCGATCGGGCTGAGACTTTGTATGCAGGTATAAGAAGAATCATAGATGAATGACATTGTGTAAAATACAAGCCTAAGAACAAAAACTGTAGTTAGTCTACACTTCAGTTCAGGAAACTCCACCACTATGGATTTAGAGATACTGATCTGGATCTTATTGCATCATACCTGAGGGATAGGATTCAGAGGGTTGACATTAATGGTAATAAGTCTCCGGGTTCGCCGGTTAAGATGGGTGTTCCGCAGGGCTCAATCCTAGGTCCTTTCTTATTTTTAATTTATATTAATGACTTACCTTACTATGTAAGAGATAACCATGAGATAGTATTGTTTGCGGATGATACATCACTTTTATTTAAACTCAAACGCAATGAAAAAGTTATTGACGACGTGAACAATTGTATCTCTAAGGTAGTCCACTGGTTCAATGTTAACAATTTATTACTTAACTAGCTTTTGCCCGCGACTTCATCCGCGTTTTCGTCGTTTTTCGTAAAAAAGTAGCATATGCCCTTCCTCAGGGTTCCGTGGTTTTGATGTGACAGACAGATTAACTTTCGTATTTTAGTAGGGAAATATAATATGTCAATCCACAATACTGTTAAAAATATCGCAATAAGGAAGCGCAGAATATTATTATTATCACTGTGCCCCGAGACCATCAGCGTGTAACTCCTTGTATGTTATTATGTTAATGTATTGGTAATTTTGTTTAGATCGCTTTCACATGAGGCTTAGGTACATATAGAATGAAAATACTTCAGCGCAAAGCTTCTGGGTAAACTACGTTGAAAGTTGACCCGTCCGGCACGCGAACATAAACATTTCTAGGACTGCTAACCCGGGAAAGAGCGACATAACTGACCACGTGAAAAACAACTGACACCGAGATCTACTCCTACAACACGAAAAGTCTGCCCTTGAGCCTTATTTATTGTCATTGCATAACACACCGATACTGGGAATTGCGTTCTTTTAAATTGGAATGGAAAATTATTTGGTATTATGGGAATTCTGGGAATAAAGATGGTTTCTCCTGCACCGCAACCTGTTAAAATTTGAGCCTCGATTACATTTTGTTGCAACTGGGTTACTTTAAGCCGAGTTCCATTGCAAATTTGTGGTGGTCCTTAATTTCGGAGCAGAATAATCGGAATGCCAATTTTTAAACAAATTTCATGAGACGGAAGTCCGGGCATATTTAAAGAATTTAAAAATTCTATCGGGTAGCTAGTGGCTTCTAGTTCATCGGCCATTCTATTTATTGAACTATAAACTTTGCTTTCCCCCTGGATATTCGACAGTATTTTATTATTAATCTCAGATGCCTGGTCATTGCGAGGAGTTAAAATGGACCTTTCGCATAGCCAAGAATTATCCTTATTTAATATATTTGTTACGTCACCGTAAACTGACGATGTACGATGTTATTGGGATTGCACTATACAACATAACTCAGGCGTCAGAATAAGTTTTCCTTGGTGTAGCAGTGGATAGGTATCTTTGGTGAAGGAAAACTAAAATATTCTTATAGAATTATAACCAGAAATATATACAACTCACAACAAAAAAGAAATGCAATACTATCTACCTATACCTACTTCACTTAAAAATAAATACTTGTAACTACTTGAATTAATAAAAGTACCTACGCTTAATAATTTTTAATTTGAACGAATATTTAAACACTACCAAAACAACTAATACCTATTTTACAAAATAACAACAAAAGAAATTCAAATAAACTATTTAAAGACTAAAAGTCACGCTGATAAGCACGGTTTCTCAATATTTCTCAATTATTGTCTGTCAATAAGGTCGAACGCTCTGAACGCATCAACAGCCAAATATTGAAGCTCGCTCGCTCTCTTTTTTTTTATTTTTTTGTTTCCTCCCAGACGGGGGAGCAGGTGAGAAATCCTCATGGATACCCTACAGCCGGCTGCAAGGTTATGTCAGACTCGTACTGACTAAAAAACACCCGTAGGGGCTGCCTCTGGCCGGGAAGGCCTCTAAGGCTTCATCGAAAGCGATCGTCCCCCGGGGGGGGGGGGGCGACGCAGAAAACAGATTTAGACAGCTAGACGCTCTCGGACCTCCCGCCTTTTGATACCCTACCGCCGCCGCGACCCGTGGCAACCGTTACACAAAAGTAATAGCATGAATCAGTATTCACGTGCGACGGCGCGATGGCTTATTCATGTATAAGTTTGGTGTTTCTATACCGATTTCTATGTTTTGTTTTTATTGAATAGGTAATAATGTTAACTTTTTTAAATTAGGGATGAGTCAACCATAAAAGATAGACATACGCTGTTGCGGGATATTTTTTAGACAATTTTATGTAGAATATTTCCGTCATACATGATTTCTATGTAACTTTAATCATTAAGGCTGCACACGCGACGGAAGCTTAAAATATGGAGTAACTTCTCCCGTTTTCCCAACATTTCCCTTCACTACTCTGCTCCTATTGATTGTAGCGTGATGAAAAGTATACTATAACCTGCCCAGGAGTATGAAGAATAATTGTACCAAGTTTTGTTAAAATCCGTCGAGTAGTTTTTGTTTCTATAAGGAACATACACACAGACAGACAGACAGACAGACAGACAAAAATTTTACTGATTGCATTTTTGGCATCAGTATCGATCACTTATCACCCCCTGATAGTTATTTTGAAAATATATTTTATGTACAGAATTGACCTCTCTACAGATTTATTATAAGTATAGATAGATATAGTTAAGGACGGTTTCTCAATATCAATTATTGTCTGTCAATAAGGTCGAACGCTCTGAACGCATCAACAGCCAAATATTGAATGAAGCTCGCTTTCTTTTTTTTTTTGTTTCCTCCCAGGCGGGGGAGCGGGTGTGAAATCCTCATGGATACCCTACAGCCGGCTGTAGAGTTATGTCAGACTCTTACTGACTAAAACATACTACTGCATAGTGCGCTTAGAGGACGGATGCACCCTGATGTGCATCCTTATCGGTTTGGGACTGAGCGACTGAAGGTCTCTCAGGATCGGGGGGGCGGGGAAGCTCGCTTTCGGACCTCCCGCCTTTTTATACCCTACCGCGATGCCACGACCCGTGTCGAGCGCGGCAGCCGTTACACAAAAATAATCCTTAAAGCATGATTCAGTATTCACGTGCGACGGCGCGATGGCTTATTTCATGTATAAGTTTGGTGTTTCTATACCGATTTCTATGATTTTTTTTTTATTGAATAGGTAATAATGTTAACTTTTTTAAATTAGGGATGAGTGACAGTATTATAAACGTAAGAGTAAATAAATATAATCAGAATGCTCCGAACTGCTAAGCTATCAGGAGTTACACGTGTTATTGTGAGTCAACCATAAAAGATAGACATATGCTGTTGCGGGATATTTTTTAGACAATTTTATGTAGAATATTTCCGTCATACATGATTTCTATGTAACTGTAACCATTAAGGCTCCACACGCGACGGAAGCTTAAAAAATGGAGTAACTTCTCCCGTTTTCCCAACATTTCCCTTCACTACTCTGCTCCTATTGATTGTAGCACGATGAAAAGTATACTATAACCTGCCCAGGAGTATGAAGAATAATTGTACCAAGTTTCGTTAAAATCCGTCGAGTAGTTTTTGTTTCTATAAGGAACAAACACACAGACAGACAGACAGACAGACAAAAATTTTACTGATTGCATTTTTGGCATCAGTATCGATCCCTTATCACCCCCTGATAGTTATTTTGAAAATATATTTCATGTACAGAATTGACCTCTCTACAGATTTATTATAAGTATAGAAGATGAAGGAAAAACGAAATGTATGAAATTTGTATTACCTAATGTAAAACAGGTAAAAACCAGTGTGAATGTAAAGGATAGGAATGTGGGCCTTGTAGACACCACAGTATTCTTAGGGATAACTTTAGATTCTAAGCTTCAATGGGGCCCACATATTGAAAAATTGTCAAATAGACTTAGCTCTGCAGCATATGCCGTAATGAAGATACGCCAGCTAACGGATGTAGATACGGCCAGATTAGTGTACTTTAGTTATTTCCATAGTGTAATGTCGTACGGAATTTTATTGTGGGGAAATGCCGCCGACATTCAAACTATTTTTGTGCTGCAGAAGAGAGCTATTCGATCAATTTATAATCTTAAAGTTAAAGAATCATTAAGAGATAAGTTTAAAGAATTTGGAATAATGACGGTCGCATCACAATACATATACGAAAATTTATTACTTGTAAGAAAAAATATTAATTTGTTTCTTAAAAACAGTGATGTTCACACAATTAATACAAGAAACAAAAATAAACTAACTTTACCTGCTACTAGGCTTCACAAAATTAATAACTCATTTAAAGGTCTTTGTGTTCGCTTATACAATAAAGTCCCAAGCAATATCCAAGAGTTAGCCATAAATAAATTTAAAGATATTATAAAAAAAACACTTATTAAAAAAGCTTATTACAAAGTGTCTGATTATATTACAGACAAAAATGCTTGGGTTTGAACTGTTCCAATCATTCCAACAGGTTTTCTATATTAAATAAATCATAATTGTATTGACGTTGTAACAACATAATGATTTGTAAATGTTGTTACATTAGACTTTTATGTTGTGGAGTTTTTTTCGCTCGTTTTTCTCCGCAGCTAAAAAATATGTCCATAACGAGTGGTAGGGAAAAAAAAATTTTTTGGACGATTCAAAAGAGTTGTACTATACATCCAATTTGAATAAAGATATATTGATTTCTGATTTCTGAGTTCTACACCGAAGCGAAGCGAGGGCGGGCCGCTAGTTATGCATAGAGCCTGCGTGGTTTGTCATGACAAATTTACGTACAAAATATTGCAGGAAGTCATATTTTCTCTACTTAAACGAAGGTAAGATGAATCTCGTTTGAGTGTGATTCGTGCACTAATAACTTAAAAGCCATTTTAATTTGCCATCTTAAATTTAATTTAAGTGGACCAGACGCTACTCATAATGGTCGTAGCGGATATATCAACTCAAACTGAGATCGTCACCGTATATCAACTCGAGCCGTTCAGTATTCCCCTTATGAAACGGATTTGACATATGTGAGTGAGTTGACCTTAACACATGTTTGCAAGTTTGATGTCAACTTTCAATTTGACGACACTGTATGAAATAAAACAGCGAGAAAAAAGCAGCCCTTCCTGAGTTTCTTGCCGGCTCTTCTCAGTACAAGGTCTCCCGCCGTAGTTTTGCTAACCGATGGCGTAGTTTTCGACTTTCACATGTGGTTGTAAAAGCCTAAACTGAATAAATTATTTTTGAATTGAATTGAAAAAAAAACTCGGTACTGCCACACACAGTAACTCATTGGAATTGACATATAATCTCCTCACCTTCGATTCCGATGGGTGTGTGTTGCAGTATATGTCGATCTCCGTGGCCGAGTGGTTTGTACACCGGGTTTCAAGGTGTGGCCTACTCGAGAGGTCCCGGGTTCGAATCCCGGTGGAGGCAGATGTTTGTGTGATGAATACGAGAATTTGTACTCCAGTCATGGATGTTTAATATCTATTTCTATATAAATATACTTTTAAATGCATCAGTATACATATGTATTCTATCCGTTACCCTAGTATCCCATAACACAAGCCTACAGTGCTTACTTTGGGGCTAGGCTAATTGGTGTGAGTGTTGGAAATAATTATTTATTTATGGAGTTTATATAAAGAATACTGAACGGCTCGAGTTAATACGGTGGCGCGATCCCTTTCCGAGTTTACGTCTACTACGACCTTAAACCTAAAAGAGAATGTAATCACTATGTGTATGACGCTAAAACTAATTTTGACAATAGTATGTCCTTATCAAGCTATTAGGGAATGCGTAGATGAGACTTACGTCATAGGTTTTACGTTTAGATAATCATGCTCTGAAAATGCTGTTTAGATTAAGGCAAATACGAATAACCATGTGTAGAGCAAACATAAGTCACCACCATCATATATGTTGGCATTAGATATTGCATTGGATCTTGTCTGTGTGTATACACTCACGTGTATGTGTTTGTTTGTGTATGTGCACATACCTAAACTTATTAACTACTAAAAACATTAAACTACCTATACAAAATTCCTTCCCCCATTTCTTTATCTTACAGTTTAGTTACCGTTTAGTGTTCTAACTTTTTACAGTTTTATTTTCACGGCAAAATGAAGTCTATAAAGCCTCTCACCCATAGGCGCGTTATTATCGGTCGATAATATCGGATGCTTTATTGCGATAATTCATCTTGATTCTATTGCGTCGTTGTTATCGCAGCAGTGTGTAACTTCGTAGGCGTCTTAATACATACCAATGTATTAAAAATAGATGTTTGACAACCTCCTTGGCAGCGTGGTAATAATTCTGGATTTGAAGGTGTCGCCACAGAGGTCTCAGGTTCGAATCCAAATGGGGGCAAATGTTAGTATGATGAATACGAGCATTTGTACTTTAGTTACGGATGTTTATATATATTTCTGGATAAAATATACTTATATATGTATCAGTATATGTATTCTATCCGTTTATAGCATCCCATAACACAAGCCTTACAGTGCTTTCTTTGGGGCTAGGTGTGAGTGTGGGAAATAGATAGATAGGTATACTCTTTATTACTCACACATACACAATTAAAGGGCTTAAAAAAAAGATAGTAAACTATGGTGGGTAAAGTCGATCTTATCGCTGAAAGCGATCTCTTCCAGACAACCTTTAAGTCAAAGGATAGTTTGACAGAGATAGAGGAGTAATGTGCCAGCAAAATATAAAACAAATAAAATGAAAATATTTATTTACCTATTTATTTTAATGCAATAACGCATCCGATATTATCGACGGACTATTTCAATCTTATTGCTTACCACGAAAATCGCTGCTACGCCCATCAGCATATATTTTATGCACCGCATTCCCACTTTCAAGTTTCCTAGCGCCATTTTTGTTTTTGTTACGAGATACCCAGGTATTGCCACTGCACTCAGATTAATACTACGCATTTGTGGCAGGCGAATCATATTTTCACAGATTGGCGAGTCTGTTATCGGATGAGATAAAATTATTGAGCGTATAGCGACGGACCGTGCTCTGTCTGTTAAGGTGATCACACATTTGTCAGCGACGTAAACGTACAAACCTTTTGTATCGGCGCATTAAGTGGCCGGTGCGGGCCACAAGAAGTGAGCAACGACGATTTGTAGCGTGTGACGGCTACCGGCGTATCGTGTGTGGGGAATCTATATAAAATGTATGAAAACTACAAGAAATATGCCGGTGGCGGCGTTTTGTGGTTGTGGTCGGTGGCCCGTGTGCGGTGACACTAAGCCGCTTTGTATCTACGCTGCGTCTTTCCCGGTGTGCGCTGCGCCCTATTGTACGCATTGATGTCATCTTAGATTAATACAAAAAGGGAAGATACGAAGTACTCACGGCTCAAAAGTGACCCGCTTAAATTATGGCGCATGACCACAATTCGCTTTAGTCACAATTGGACATTCAAACACGCTGCATGTGCACTTATTAATATAACAATATTGCGTATATTCTGTGTTATAAAGATAAAACAATGCCTTCGATGCTTTTATAAAGAACACAAATAGTTCAAAATCAAATATCAAATGTCTAGGCAACACTTTTCATTCTTAAAACTATAAAATCATTTTTTTCTCAAAAATCACGGTTTGGCGTGAATGTTATTTACGTGATCGCCATGTTGTCATCAAGAAAAGGATAACAATACAGCTCAGCCGTACGGACTCGGAAGCGGACTCGCCTATATATCCATATCCAATATTCCCTTTTTGTTTTAATCTAAGGATGTCATGAAAAAATGGTTTGGCAGCAACCAAAGAGTAATGTTATTATCGCAAAACAGGCGTATGAAATGTATTACTGAGGGATGGAGGGAGGGAGGGAGAAAAGATTTGGGTTTTACTGGTTTTTAAAAATAAAACGACATATTCGTTGTTGTTTAAGTTTATTTTATTAAAGAGATCACAATATCATGTTGATATGTATTTTTATATAAATCAATTATAAATAACTATGTCTTTATATATTTTTTTGCCTTTGATTAGTAGTGTTAGGTTTTTCAAGGTTTTTAAAAAACCAGTTACAAATCCTATTACTGCGATATTTCAGAGGAAATACGATGTTTGAAGTTCAAATAAATATAGTTAGGTTCAATTCTTCGTATATTTTCACACCCTATGTCATTTTCTTAATAAAAAATGTTTTTTTTCCAAAGTGCATCAGTTTTTATTTATATGTATGTACGTTATGGAATTCATTGGTTTAGGTTTTATATTAAGGTAACTATCTACAAAATTTACTACAGCTAAGTAGAAATGTGTTCAAATTGTAAAATGTGTTGGTTAAGTACATTATAGGTACTTATATCATTGTGATAAAATTGAAATAAGTGAACATAATAACAAATTTTCTATGTATTCGACAAAAGTAGTACTTTCAGAATTTTCTGAGGATAATCATTCTGTAGGCGTTGTATCTAATCCATTAACATATAAAATCACTGTAAAAAGTGATAATTACTTTTTTCATATGGTTAAAACATTTTGATGTGTTCAATACAACAGGTAAGTAATTGTAAAGCCGGGTACTCATTAGCGAGCTGTAACCGTAACATGCGTCATACAGTACGAGGTTCTAGAGCAGTGTTTCCTAACCTTTCCAATACTGCTACCCCTGTAACCTATTAGGAAAACAGATTTTACCCCGACTTTAAAATGTTATCATCAGGCCAAGAAATTCCAATTTGGCCGCTACATCTTCGTCTCTAATAATGTCATCATCAGGAGAAAATCTCGCCCCGCTTCCCACACTCAGCACCCCGCGGGCTCGCTAGCAAGAAGGAGCGCATGCTCTATTTAGTAGTATTATTATATAGCATTTTCTTATTATTTAGATTTGACCAAATAATTAGGTTCTTTGTTACCCCCGAAGTATGGCTGATTTACCCCCCGAGGGGTAATAATTTCCCCCAGGTTCTAGAGTGTACGCTTGTAGCTCAGTTGTAAACGTCGGCTCGCTGCAATCCGCACGCGTACCGCTCGCAGCAGGTTAGCGTACCACGTACACACTATGCTTTTTGGTTACAGTGCATGCAACGGTTACGGTTACAGCTCGCTAATGAATAGCCGGCTTAATGTAACACGCTTTTGTGATTTGTCAACTGTATAAGTAGATTAAGAAAGCAAGTTTGCTATTATTTTTACTTCTACACGAAGGTATATAACTAGTATAAAGTGGCCAGCACTTTTTCAATTTATACTTAAGATACCTAAACTTCAAAACACTCTTCAAGCTTACGCTGAGTGTTACGTTAGATTACGTGACGTGAAAATGTTAAAAAATGTGATTCGATTTTTAATAGCGTCGTGCGTGACATTAACACAGTCGATTTCAATAATACCTTCAATATAAAGTATAAATAAAAATGAATCACCGAAATATATGTACGCGCATAACGTTCGAAAGACTGCACGAAAATGGATTATTATTATTTTATTGTGTTCATTATTGTCGGTAGAAGGTATGTATTCATTGAACTCAGCTGTACTTCCTTCTGGAATTTTTTTTTATAGGGCCTACGCAGGTGTAACCGAAATATTCTCATTTTTATCAATTATTTTTATAATGGAAAACATTCTTGTCTTTGTCTCACAAGTTCTAAAAACAAAGAATTACACCTTTTAGACCGTAATATAGGACCTAGTAACTAGGTCTGAGCACAGGCTCAGTAGGGCGATTCTGTAAAATAAAATCTCACTTTCGATTTCTATAGCTGCCACTTAAGCACGAACCAATATCAAATTCGTATAGTTTGCGAGTCCGAAATGTCATTGTCAAATGTGTACTGATTTTTAGTTCTCGTTGCGTACTTTGTGCCGCTCCTGTTCAAGTTTCCATACAAAATTGGACATTGACTTTGATTTCGGTATGCAAACTATTCGAATTCGATAATGGTTCGTGCTAGGAATACAGACATTGATATGCATTACGCTATTACATGGCAAAATGTCGCTATATCTGTAGAAACAGCCAATATTAAATATTTGACATTTGTCAGTAATCTGAGTAAATGTGATCGTAAGTGAGATTGCATCTTACAGAATGAATACCGATGCTGCAGTAGGCGTCATAAGGCTGATATGATACGTTAAATATTCATCAGTATGAAGTGCTTCATAAAATGTTGCATGAAGTGTAGGGATGCAGTATTATAAATGTAAAGGCCAACGCTTACTTAGCACCGCGTGTAGAGCATCGCGGTTCTTGTAGCGGTCAAGACGCAGATTAGATAATAATTACTAGGTAAGTACATTAGTATTTCAAACGAAAAAAGTACCGTTTCCGAAGCTGAAATACGGGTGTAGCACGGGACTACTTAATTATATTGTGTCAACGCGTCTATCCACAACGTAATAGTGGAAAACAATGTTGTTCCACTGTATTCAATTGCTATAGCTGGCGACATGGAGGATGGACCAAAACTTGTATAAATACGCTAATATTATATGCATAGATAGTTCTTTAAATTATATAAATAAACAATAAAGTCTTAAGCTAAAACGTGAATTATATATAAATATCAATATAGATAAATTAAAGGTATGGAATAACAACCTTCTTTCTCAAAGACATTAATGCAATATTTAAACATATTATTAATTCAGCACCAATAATACCAATCACATTTTTTTCTATTTTATTAATAATAATAATAATTTTATTTCCAATTTATGTTACAATTGATATACTTAAGAATATAGGTAGTATATCGGTAAGTAACATCGGTAAAACGATTCCATGAACCCTATGCTAGGACAAAAACCTGTCGATATCTGGCGATAAATTATGGGTAAAAAGAATAACAACCATCAATATTAGTGGATAGTGTATGTGTCAAACACAGATTAAAAACGAAAACAAGAAATAAATAGAGAAAAAAATGTAAGCTAATTTAAGTGTGGGTGTGTGTGTGAGGATAGTGCGTGCGTGGGGTAGTGAGGTAGTGAGGTGTGACGCCACTGTGAGGTGTGTACAGCTGTTTCTATTTGAGCGTTTGTTAAGATTACGGATAGCAGGAACATCTGGGTGTCTGCGGAGGATGACACGAAGAACAAAAATTTGTCTAACGGACAGTACTTTGGCCTGCTGGAACAGTTCGCTAGTTGGGTATCTAAAATGCTTAAATAACATTACCTTTAGGATGGCACGTTGAGCCCGTTCCAAGGTGATCATGAATGACTTACCTGCTGCGCCCCACACGGGTATGCAGTATGAGAGGATAGACTGGCAGAGTGATACGCAGGGCATCGGAATCCGCACAATGGCGAAGAGTTTTAAAGATATAGGTAAGGAGTCTGCATCTAGATGAAAAGTTGTCAATTTGAGGCTTCCAGTTGAGGCTCTCGTTCAAATTAACACCGAGATATTTGATAGAGGTGGCGCGATGTATAGGGGCACAGCAAAAGGCACTCTTGGGGTTGGAACATTTGTAGATTTTAATTTTAGTAGCAGGGGAAGGGCGAGTAGATGATCTGATTAAGCACGGGAGAAACATTGTTTTTCTAACATTTAACGTGTGACGATTAGTAGACAGCCAACTTCCTACTATATTAAGTGCCTTTTCAGCGTTTACTTTTACCAAATCCCAATTTGAGCCAGAGATGAGTAAAACAGTGTCATCGGCGTATGTAAAGATTTTACATTTTGGAACGGTAAGTTGACATAACTGATTAATGTAAAGAAGAAAGAGGGTAGGGCCAAGGAACCCTGAGGGACACCATAGGATATTGAGATTGGTTTACTTAACAGTCCATTGATTTTTCTCTCTGACTCCGACTTTTCAGACAGTCTTGGAGTATGTTATAAGCTGCGCCTCGAATACCGTATTCCTTCAGCTTGGAAAGTAAAGTGGGTATATAGACAGTGTCAAACGCATTGGATAAATCAAGGAATATGCCAAGACTTTTTTTACCGGTCATCAAGATCACTGAACACTGATCCCACTAAATCTATCACTGCATCTTCCGTTCTAATTCCGGAGAGAAAGCCGTATTGATTTTTTCAAATCAGATCATAACGCCTTAAGTACAGAAAACAACCTCCTCATTCAAGCTAAAGAAAAAAGAATCAAAACCAGACAATACAATGGGGAAAGGTAAATAGCGATTATAGCCATTTTACTATCCACTATACATGTGAGATAGTTTGCAAACTTAAATTTTGGCTCATTACTAGCAAAACTAAGTTGTGACTTGATATAAATAATAACACCATAATTTTGTATGGGATTATTACGTGTATTAAGCATTATACTATATCCGTCAAGGGAGGTGATATTAGCCGATGACTTTAGTCAGCGTACCGTTAATATTATAAGATCACAAGATAGTTTTAATTGCTTTAGTAATACACAGAGTTCATCAATTTTTTTATTAAAACTTCGAATGTTCATATGAAATATTTTTTTTAAAGGCTGAGATACTGAAGCTAGTACTTGTGCGCAATCTTGTGGGATACCAGTATAAGCCGATGCCATCGCTAGATTATCCGAGTCTATGATAATATCGTTAAGATCAAGCATTGTAAAATAGGCAATAAGTCCTAGTATAAGTGAGCTTATATGAAATAAAAAGGAGTTAGTATGGGGCGGGACCAAAGAAATACATCTTATTTAGTTATGAATACCAATATATGACACTATTAACAAGGTAAGAGTATATTGTTTTGTGAGTTTGTTAGGTAACGACTGTCTTTTGGATACAAGGATCATTGAAAATTGTGTTATACTGTGCATTTGGATTGTGTTATTATATAAATATATATGTGAGGTATGTATATGAGGTTTCAGTGTGCAGTATGGATATGTGTACATGAATGTTGTGAGTTACTAACAATTATGATAAAACATCGATGTATCGATTAATGTTAAAAATACTCTATGAATAAATTATATAAATTAATTAGTAATTACTATTCCTATAAAGCGCGTGAGAGTCCCTACTTTAGTAGAATCGCTACGAATTAACGCATTTTTAACAATGGCAGTGAGTCATGTGAACCCTTCACAAGGTAATTCACTTTTTTATAATAATGATTAATTTATATTTTACCAAAGCAAAAATTTATGTTTACAAGTTATTTACTACTTTAAAGTTTAATTATTCAGTACGATACCAGGTTTTGAAACGAAAATTTCGTGAGACGTGCCCGTGACGATTTTGAAATCAAAATAGGTTTGTATAATAATTAATAATATGTGAAAGGCACATTTTAAAATATGACCTCAAAAAAATAATAAACGATCATCTAAATATACAATTAGTCCTAACCTTTAGGTAGCCAATTGCATGTTTAGGATTATTAATATTTTTTCGGAGAGCACCTAAATATTTCCATATAAAAAGTCCTAATAATTTATCTTTATGCAAGTTGGTGATGAAGTATAGTTAATTTCACTTATTTAGTGACTTACATTAATCGATTATTAGAAAATGAAGATATGTACGATAATATATATATGGAACATTTTTCCTTAATTGATTAAATTGAATCACTGTGAAAATATAATAATCAATTCGGTAGAATCTATTGGAAATTCCCTAAGGGTTGATAAGTTCAAAATGAAACTTTTTCACCATATTTTGTGGTACATACTTATATTATATCAAAAAGTTTAAATTTAACTTCTTATTGGAATGATTGTAGGACAAATTTACATACAATCATTGCACTTATATATAAGTACGTGCTGAGCTGAGAGTAATTTTAAAAGGAATAAATACTTTGCAGTTTTTAATCTTAAGCCATTATCAGGTTACCGTAGGTATGCCTATATTTTTTTACATAATACTTCAAAATCTTGAATGTGATATCATTTATTAAGTATTTTGACTAGGTGTAATCTGACTAGAGTTGCGCTTATCAAGTGAAGTTTAATCTCTATTATATTTTAATCAACAGTACTATTACATCACCGTGATACTTGGTCGCTGAGTTTATAATATAAAATGCATTAATTTGCGATTAGGGTAGACAATGTGTCCAGTACCTACAGCAAATGGTAGTCGTGATCTGGTGTAGGATTGACCTAGAAAGTCCATTATATAGATAAGAGTTTTATCTAATTTGTGTTACATATGACTTTGTGATAGTAATCACCACTATCAGAGAATAGAAATCGGTAAATCAGTGTATAGTAAATCCGGAATATATTTATTATACCAGATATAACGTACGAATATATACGCTACAAAAGTCTCGTTCCGAGTGAATACACTATTCGTATGGACAAGACAGTTTGACTGATATAGATTAATGGCGTGCATCCAATAGAGACAAAAAGGTGATTAGCCATATTAACATGACATTATGGTGAATCGTGGCGGCTTTGTATGTTCGCCTTGCCGTCTGAAAGATCTGTGCACGCTTCTCTTCAGTAGTATTATTTCGCTTTGCATCAGAAAACCGATGCGAATCTATTTTGTAATTTTAAATTTCCCTCTTTTGTTTCACTCGCATCTTCAATCGAGGTCGTCGAAGTTGAGCACGCGGAAGGTTTGCGGCGTGCGCGTAGTCACCAGAGCCGGAGCTAGGGCCGGAGGTGGGGGCGAGGGCGTGGGGGGCGCCAGCACGACGGCGGGGGGCGGGGGGCGCCGCGCGCCGGGGCCGGGGGCGCGACGCTAGTCGTCCACCAGCTCCCACAGCATGAGCGCCGCCTCGCCACCGCCAGTGCTAACCATGCACCGGTCGTTGAACAAGAACCGGGCGCAGTATACGAAGCCGGAGTAGACTTTCGTCTCGTTGTATTCCGCTTTGGGACTCGCGCAGGGGTATCTGGTGGAGAGAGCGAATGTTTTTTTTTTAGCACAAATCTTTACGTGGATGTGGATGGAATAACAACGAGCAAAGCGGGAAGGAACTTAATGGTCTATGCCGCTAGTGTTTATAGCTTCACCATCTTATTAATAAACGAAGAATAAGCTTGGATTAGTTACTTCATGTTTTGTCTCTGTTCATTGAATTACCAATGGCATTTGAGTGATATGAACAAAAAATTGCGTACCGAGTCTAAGCGCATTCCTCATTAATAGTAGGGTGATATAACATAATAGAGAGTGTTTAGTACCTAACTAAGGAAATACCTCCACCTTTCAAGATTTTTGTAACACTGGGCGTATTTAAAATTTTTGCGCCCAGGGTCAATTACAACTTGCATCATTATTACTTTAATTCAATATATAGGTCAGCAATGTATGTGTTTATATGGATTCTACCGCCCCGTCACAGGAGGAACTCTTGGAGCCCCAGGCCATGTCCCTCTTGACCCTAGAGCAAATACGCCCCTAAAGGTCACTTTCATGTGTAAATTAATTTTAAACTTTACTGTGAATTTAACTTTGAAAATTTTACAAGTAGTTAAGATAGAGGCGTTATCGTATTCAGATTTATAAGTCCGTGCCTCTACATTCAGAAAGATTCCAGCATGGGTGAAAATCAAGACTTTTTGATATAAGAAAAGAGTAACCAGTCTCACCTGAACAATCTCAGATATCCATCAGTATCACCGCTGACCAACAAGTCGTGAGCCGCTGAGCGACTAGCGGTGGATATCAGGGTGGTCATCGGGTAGAATCTGTTATTCCACATTCCTACAAAAAAACATGGTATGAGTACCAAAATAGATGACTTGATGTTGTTTTTTAAATTTTGTAGCATTAATTGAACAAATGTACCAGACACGAGGAATCCAACTGTAGAATTAAACGTCGACCATTTGACGTCCTTCATAGCTACAGGGCTCTTTTCAGGAGATAGAGCTTTGATATCCCCTGAAAAAAAGAAAAGTAGGGTTTTCATATGAATAAATAATACTCACGAAAAATGAGATATTCAGCAAGAGAAATATCCTAAAGCATTTGGTGCTGCAGACAATTGGCAATCTTTCTATTACCTATAACGGGAACTTAGTTTGAGTGTGACACGTATTTAAGTTGCTGTTAGCTTTCACACGAATTGAAAGTTCCAGGGCTCCACGGGGTAGGCTATTGGGTTAAAAAAGAAAATAATAATGCTCACAGAAAGCGAGGTCGTAATCCGCGGTGACGGTCTGCAGGTAGCTGCCATCGAGGCTCCAGTCGAGTTGCACCAACGGCTGCGCCCCGCGGATCTTGTTCGACTTCTTGTACGAGAAACCGTCGCGAGACACGCGGAACAAGTAGATGCTGCCGTTCTGTGAGCCTATGGCTAGGACGTCGCCAGCTGGAATACGAGTTTGATTAATGCAATGTGTTGAAATATAACTTAAGAGCCCTTTCACATTTTTTGCAAAAGTCGTAATTTTTGAGTGCTTAGTTTACTCCCTTCAAAAAGATTTTGACTATTTCCAATAGAAGCAAACATTAAATTTATTCTTCCTATTGTAAGTTAATGTAGAATAATTGCAAATACTATTTTCCTTTTTTTGTAGATCGTTCTACTGCAGCAAGTATACGGAAAAAACGATAATATGCACAACTTCAAACGCCTCAATCTCTCAATAATATTCAATAAATTAGATCAAATTAAATACGACGACATCAGAAATATGTTTTTATTGTAACATAATGTATAAGAATTTTGATTTTCTATCTCATTAATTATCAAAAAACACATCTAACCTCCGTGAGTTTTCCCAAAAAATAATGCAGTTTTACCTCGTATTTTGATATTGAATTAAATAGAATTACTATCAAAAACTTTCATAAAACTAATCTACCATCATTGAACTTCTGAAATATGAATATATTTTGATGATTAGTTCATTAATAATTATTTTAAAGGACTCGATACATCACCCGTAAAATGCGATATATACTAGTGCAAATCTACCTACGTGGCGATCAGTACGGCAGTGGCGCAATTTTGTAAAAGGGCTCTTAACTTCACGCTCTTTATCGGCCGGGGTAGGTAGAGAAAATAAAATGTGTTACAGCCTCCTTAAATTACCTCATGGGGTCCGTTGAGTCTGGCAAATAATTTGAAAACCTTACACCCTGTCAATATTTAGGAAATAAATAGGTACTAAAATATGAAGAAGATTTGTATTTGAAACCACCACTTTAAGGAAATTTAGCTATCGAAATGGTCCTTCGAGCCGGATTTTTAATTTATAGACCTTGATATCAATAGGTACTTTCATAGGAGTGGTGGATTACTTACCAGAGTTGTACATGAGACAGTTGAGCGGGCTGCCGCACACTCGTATGGTGGCGACGTGGGCGCCGGCGTCCGCGTTCAGCACCACCAGGTGGCCCTCCGTGCTGCCGGCTGCCAGTGCGCCACCACTCGGGTGCCACGCTAGCGAGACGCACTCGTAACCAACCTGACGATACGTCATCAGTATTTCCAGTGTTAATTTTATGTGTAAGAAAGCCATGACGCCCTTCTCGACACCGGGAGTTGTTATGGGAATATGTGACAAGTTGCCGCCCATATTCCACTAGCACGTTGATGCGGTACTGACTAATAAGACTAAATGAGCTAATAGAGAACATGACGGAAGACACCTGCCGTCTCAAGGCTAGCAATGAGCGGCTGCTTAAAGAGGTGGCAAACCTGAAGAGAGATGTGAAAGCACTTCGCCAGGACATCGCAGAAAAGCAGCCAATGCCAGTGCTCAGACGACTAAGGCGGCAAAACAGAGAGACCATACGACAGTGCACGATCTAACTGTGCCAATAGGACAAATGATGGAAGACCTAAAACTATCCCTTCAGGAGTCTGTAGGGATGGTGGACGCGAAACTGTATACCCGTAGGTAGCCTGCAGCGATTTAAGGCAGGATAGGCGGGGTTGTGGCCCACAACAGAGATAAAAAAAGTATGTCCATGAGTCAATCAGGAAGGGAACTGGGGTGGAAATGGTAAGTGGCTAGATTTAGGAGCCCCGTGTCCTAGTGGCTAGAGTCCTTCGTTGTCCGAATCCAGCCCTGGTAGACTGAATCGCACACAAGAGGGTATAGTCATTCCCATAATTTTGCCGTATCTATATTCCAGAGATCTCTCTTTCAAAAAGTTTTTTGTGATCCACAAAACCGTAGCAAAACTTTCGGTCAGGAGCCAAACACTTCTTCACGATATTATGGAGCGAGAAAATTTGAATCTTACATGCAATATCTTTCTGATAACTAACTTCATAATAAGAATATATTATTATTCATAATAGTTCATAGAAAACTTAAAAAAAATTACAAACCTAATTAAGTGAATGTAAATATCATTCAATGTCAACAATCTTTTAAGATATATATCTTAAAAATTCTTACCTGTGTAGCGAAAACTAATTTGTGGCCTTTCCACAGGGCGATATTTTTGTCGTGCCCGGCTGTAGCAAACATTTCATCGTCGGGGTGGACAGCCAGTCCCATTAGCTGCTTATGATGTCCGAATAGTATCTACAAAAATAAAAATGTAAAAGTTGATTGATTGATATCTGCTTTCTAATAAATCTAGGTATGTTCTTCGCGATTTTTTTAGCGCATTGTGATCAAATAAATAAAACAAACAAGCATTTACCCTGCCCGAAAACAATCAAATAAATGCATGCCGTCGGCAGAGTAAACAATTGTTTATATATGAGAGAGAGAGAACCATTTTATTGACCAGTAAAACACACAAACATATAATTATAAACTGTTAAAATCAAAACATATATGGAAGCATTACAAACATTGATAAACCTAATTATCATATTGGTCAATCAGGACTAGGGTTTCAACGATATATCGAAATATCGATAATATCGAGACCAAAATATCGATATTTATATCGATATTTAAAATTCATTGATATCGATAATATCGATATCGGAAATTCCAAAATATCGATATTTCGTAGACTAAATTTGAACACAATAATATCAATTAATTTACCTGCTATGACTATCTAAATTGAATAATATTGAAATAACTATTGTTTTGAAATCGCAAGAGCTTATAGATGTATTAAAAAAATCTTGAACCCCAAGAAATATACTAAACTGGTGTGGATTCTGGCATGAATCAGTAAACTTAAAATTAAATTTGACAATAGTGTATCCTTGTCATTCTTTATACAGCATGAAAAGGAGAGACTGATGCTAAATTTAGTTTTAAGTTTAGATAATCATGCCAGAATCGAAACCAACGTATATAGGTATAATCGTATACCTAATGGTAACTCATGCACTTAAATAAAATCCTTGCCTCTCTTTCTAGATAATTCTCAACTACTGATTAATTGAAATTTAATATCATTGTAATATAACACAAAATAAAATTAAGAATCTTATACAAATCGTAAATTTTTTAAGCTCGCTAAGTCAAGAAAGATAGGTATAGTAATTTTGGAAGCTTTGGGCTTTCCCTATTCTGAAGCCATGGGCACGCCCCTGATGTGTGGGAGACTAAGCAATTTGCGTATTTGATGTGCGCTAAAAAACCGATATAGCTTGGAAAAGCATGAATGTAGTGAAAACTTAGCGAATGCATTCGCAAATGTCGTCCCACATATGCGGGTTGGCGCATTCGTGCTAACGAATGTGAGTGATCTGATCAGGATAATAATTTTATTTTTTTTGGTTTCCTGTCGTGGCTGAAACACAAACCGTGCGAGCCAATAAAAAAATCCTGCTTGGCGCGATTTCATCAAGCGCGTTTAACGAAAAAGCTGGGTCAATGCATTTTGCGAGAAACTCGCCAACAAACATATGAATGTGTCACACTCACCCCGTATTCTAATGTCAATAAAAAATAAAAAGGAGAAAATATCGATATATCGATAATATGGAGTTAAAATGGTCGATATATCGGATATCGATATTTTCATGACTTCGATATAAATATCGATATTTCAAAAGACTTTGCATCCCTAATCAGGACCCTGCCTCAACATAATGCTGCCGTGACATGTAACTAAACGTGTCACGACAACGCTGGTATTCTGACAGGGCCTGTATGGTGTACAACTTAATAAAGAACACAAATAGATTTATAATTAGATAAATAGTAATTAAGTGTTAAAATCCACAGGAAACTAAAAGACAAATAATATAAATTTATATGTGACCCAGTGTCATTAGCTGCGTTATGTTATTCTGTGGTTAATCTGTGATTCCCAATATTATAATTTTAACATAGGCATGTCCTGCCTAGGCAGCAGGAAAATGTGCTTTTTTTTCTTTAGACTGATATTTACTGATTTTACAGAACCATCTTGCCAATTTTACGTTACCTTTTTGCTACTTTAACACATGGAAAGAATTTATAGATTGTCACTGACCTGGTTGAACCGCCTCTGAAGAGATCCTTCCATGATGTTGTTCTTCGTGGTGCCTACGTATAAGTTGCCGTCGTTTCTTCCCGGCCTCTGAGGGTAAATGGTCCTTACGCCGCCTGCCGACTCTGGTAGCTAAATAAAATAAAACAGACATTAGAAAATAAACTATTATTTTGATATGAAGTGATGGCGCTCGTAATCAGAAATTTGACATACATACAGAATTTATTTTAATTGATTTTTTTGCTTTAAAACTAAGGATCTGTGGGTACTTAAATTAGGAAAACTCTGTGACTTAAGTACCCACCCTCTTCCAGTGTCACAATATAATAAATTAACAAGATACTACATTGTTGAGAAAATAGGATTATAAATTGAAAACTAAAATTTAAGTTATTAAAAAACAAACAAAAATAATGATTCCTTTTTTTAACAAAAAGACCAAAATTTAGGTATATTTCTTAATTCATTTTCATGCAAGAGTAGTAAGGAATCATCTCATGAGCGGTAACATCTTCTCAGTTTCTTCTTCAGTTACTCAGTGGAAGAAGAAAGTGAGTGAGAATTCGTTTTGGTTCACAGGCCTTTAATGAATATATATTTAACAACCGGTTTACACTATTATAAATTTGGGGACCTAGAAATGTAGAAATCGTTTGCTAAAATATTTACTCTTGAAAATCAATTTGTTGCGACGAGGCTCACTATTATGAAGATCAAAAGGTAGTTTGGAATGTTGGTGTATTAATATATACAAGTTAGTTTTGATGGATGGTGGGACAATGAGTCACACCCAACTGGTAACTCCACCCAATGGTGAACTCGTTTGGTCTACCATTGTAAAAGTTAAGCAACCCTTAACCAATCAAAACCGCGCTAGGGCGCTTGTCAACGAAACTATTTCTACACGGGAATAGGCACGATTTTAAACCGTGTCTATGTCTGGTCGTCAGTTCAGTATGGGATACTATGGAGGTTAACGATACTCGCGAATTAACTGGTCGCGTGATTGGTCGGTAGTGCAGTGACGCGGATCTCGCCGTCTCGTTCGCGCTGCCGTTGAAACTTAACGTGCTGTTTCGCACGGGTCGGTAATGCAGTGACGCGGATCTCGCCGTCCAGTTCGCGCTGCCGTGGGATCAATTTGATCATGAAAGTATGAGCGTACCGTATCTACCCTTTTTGTTTTAATCTAAGTAAAAAGGTCCATTACCTTAGTGTCAGTGATTCGCTTGTAGTTCTGCAGAGAGTCCCACGCCGCAATTTTTCTGTCTTTTTCTCCGCCCGATATCAAAGTGCCTTCCGAAAGCATCACCAAGGAGCTGATTCCTTTGATGTGAGCCTGAAATAGTTTAAGTTTTATAACATTCAATATAAATATGAATATTTCTAACACTCACGCCAATTAGCCTAGCCCCAAAGTAAGCACTGTAAGGCTTGTGTTATGGGATGCTAGGGTAACGGATAGAATACATATACTGTACATATACAGGGTGGTCAAAAAGTCGTGGATCAAATGAAACAGGGGGATAAAGAAGGTTATTTCCAACAAAAAATCTTTCTACAGCATGGCCATAACTTCATTGCACGAAAAGTTATGAATATTTTTGTTTTTTTCAATGAATCTACCGAGTTTTTTTACAATTTAATCAATAAAAAAATAAATCGATTAAACACAATAAAACAAAAGGTGTTGTATTATGACCGGATTATGTATCAATACTACAAAAATTGTATTGGAGCTCTCGGTACCAAATTTAACGAGCAATATTTTTTTTTTCCTAAATTTTGAAGCGTTACAAAGAATTACTTCTCAATTTAGGAGCACCATGTGAAAAAAAAATGTATTACAGAAAAGTGACCCCGTATTAAAAAAACTTGCTGATTTAATGCTAATTCAAATAAGGTACAACACTGTACTGTGTGACCTTTAGTTTTGGTTTTATGATCGTTTTTTCATATCAAGGTGCAAATTTCATTAAATTAACCTTATTCAAATAATTTACTACTTGATCATAAACGGCTAGTTTTTTGTACGTTGAAACGCTAGAAATGTTCTGTTCTTGTCACACTTAGGATTTATGAAATGGACAGACACGCTTTCACACTAATACGATTTGACAATGAAGAGCAAATACTGAGACAGTTAAGAATGAACCCTGGTATTAGCCAACGCCAACGAAATCTCGGGATGCCATGATCGGCGGTGCAGCTTATTATTAAAAGAAAAAAATACCACGGTTACCACGTGCAAAGGGTATAAGCTTTACAGCCCTCTGACTATGGACCTAGAATGGTATTTTGCAGAGAGATGCTTAGACGACACAGAGAGGATCCGCAGTTCTACAACAAAATTTTATGGACTGATGAGTCAAATTTTAGAAGAATGGGAATTTTTAACATCCGCAATTTACACTTTTACTCAAGAGTGACCCACATATCATCAGAAATGATCGATTCAAGCATTTGTTTGGTATAAACATGTGGGCTGGAATAATTGACCAGAAGCCTGTGCTACATGAAGTGCCACCAAGGCTGAATGGTGCCCTGTATTTGAATTTTTTACAGAATAATTTGAACCAAATACACAGCGAAGCTGAGATTCCTGAAGATAGAGTGGCAGAAATGTGGCTGCAACAAGATGGCGCCCCGACTCATTATGCTCGAGCAATTCGAGGACATTTGAACGAGCGCTTCCCTAACCGGTGGATTGGTCGAGGCGGACCTATTGCATGACCACCCTGGTCGCCCGACCTTAACTCAATAGACTTTTTTTTGGGGCTATTTCAAAGAAATAGTGTATCAAGGAGAGAATAACACCGAACAAGAACTACGACAAAAGCTCGAGTTCGCTGGGTTACAAATTGTTATAACAGAGGTGCATTCCGCCGATTACGTGCGAATTTTATTAAGCGGTGCATATTGTGCATTATGGTCAGAGGTAGGAACTTTGAACATTTAATGTAAACATTTTAATTGTAATAAAATTACTAAGTCATAATTGTTCTTTTTATTTCATGATGACTTCTGAAATTACTACATAGTATGTATGAGCAAGAATCTTTTCCTTTTTATAAATTTGCACCTTGACATGAAAAAACGACCATAAAACCAAAAGTAAAGGTCACACAGTACAGTGTTGTACCTTATTTGAATTAGCATTAAATCAGCAAGTTTTTTTAATACGGGGTCACTTTTCTGTAATACATTTTTTTTTCACATGGTGCTCCTAAAGTGAGAAGTAATTCTTTGTAACGCTTCAAAATATACGAAAAAAAAATCATTGCTCGTTAAATTTGGTACCGCGAGCTCCAATACAATTTTTGTAGTATTGATACATAATCCGGTCATAATACAACACCTTTTGTTTTATTGTGTTTAATCAATTTATTTTTTTATTGATTAAATTGTAAAAAAACTCGGTAGATTCATTGAAAAAAACAAAAATATTTATAACTTTTCGTGCAATGAAGTTATGGCCATGCTGTAGAAAGATTTTTTGTTGGAAATAACCTACTTTATCCCCCTGTTTCATTTGATCCACGACTTTTTGACCACCCTGTATAAGTACATTTCTATATAAATACATATTAAACATATATGACTGGAGTACAAATGCTCGTATTCATCACACAGAGACCCGGGACCTCTCGAGTCTCGGCGACACCATGAAAACCCGGCGTACAAACCACTCGAAGTAGTAACACCCATTGCATTGGATATGAAACACGATCTGCAGTAGAACTGCAATGGCACAAAACATTTTAAAGGAAAAAAATAACTTGGCAGGTTGCCGAAAAAGTGCTGTGCTTGTGAATTCTTTTGATTTATCTAGTAATTTTACGTTCTTATTCATACTCGGTACATTTTAATGAAATATCCTTGCTAGGCGATCAGACAAGTAAGACATTCTTTCTATTCCTTTGATGCTGGATAGATAATATATTTTATTTAATTTTCTTGTTCTATATTTTATAAATTTATTAACAAATTACTTCGAACTCCATGCGGACGAAGTATGCACCATCACTGTCAACGCTGTAGATGGTAATGAAGCCATCGCTGTCGGCCGTCACCACGTCGCCATCTTGTTCGAACTGCAGCGCTGTCACGTGTGTACGAGATGGCTGTGTACATGCAAATAAATAAATATTTCTTACACTCCCATATACACCGTGACTTTTGAGTTATCTGAGAAACTAAAATTAAAGCGAATAGTTATAAACAGTAACGTATTACACCCCCATCAAATACAACAAAATATTGATTTACTCAATATCGTTTACAAAATATCCTAAAACGGAGCATTTTTGTCGCATTTTTTTAAATAACATGCCTATTATTTAATTATGTATATGTGTCAATTATGGCGTGATTCTCTAAACTTAATATTAAATTTAACATCAGATTCTCCTTTTCGTTCTATATAGAGAATGACCAGGATATCAAATTTAAGTTTAGGTTTAGAGACTCATGCCAGAATCGACACCATTAGAGTACGATACCATATATATATATATATATATATATACATATATATACCATACGAGTTTAAAGTAAATAGATCCTAAAAGTAGTTTTATTTAAATCAATTTACGAGAATTAAATTGTTATGGTTTTAATATATTTGCAGAATAACTGAGTTAACGTAGAGAGACTTCTTGAAAAATATAAAAGAAAAGACTTTGCTGAAATATCTTTGTTTAAATTAGCCGAAAAAGATTCTCAGGTAATTAAAAATTTACAGTGTAGAAGTACCTAAGTATAATTATCTAGAAACACCTATAAACATTCATGACTTAGGTTAAAAATGGTCTTATTTATCATATAGATTATATATTTGTCCCACCGGGATACGAACCCGGCACCTCTGAGTGGGTGACACCTCGAATCCCGCCGTACATACCTTTCGCCCCACGGGGGTCGTAATTAAGTCCAATAATGTAATGTTTTAATGTTAAAACACTTCATAGATATGAACCCATGAACAGTGCTTGAAGATCTAGAATATAGACTGTTCAATGAAAGCGATCTTCAGTTGGTAGTAATAAGAAGCCGATTTTTTCTAGTTATGTGAATTTAGGTCAAATATACTTAGATTTTTTCGCTATTACTTTAAAGAATGCATGCTTTAAATAATGAATTCTTTCTTAACTTCAATAAGCAAGAAAAGTGATAGTTTTATACTATTTGACAAATTGTTAGATTCATTAAGTAATCTTAACATTTGCTTCCTTATTAATTAACGAAGAATAAGCTTGGATTAGTTACTCTATGTTCTGTCCATTGAAAGACAAACGGAATTTGAATGATACAAACAAATCACGGTGTATCTAGTCTACGCTTATTCTTCGGTAATTCCTAAGGGTGATATAGTACTTATATAAGTATTTACGCGAAAAGAAAACAACTTGTTTTTGGGTCCGTTAAAAATAACAACAAACTCTTTATTAGTTATATTTTTTTGGATTTAAACTCCTTATAGTTTCGAATGATTGTATCAAGGACGAAGGCTTTTACCTGTTTGATGATGTCAGTGCGTTCGAAGAATCCATCTTTCCTGCGGTTCCAGAAAGCTAAGTGTCCCTTCCCGTGGGTGATGAGAAGGTTATCGTCCAGAGGATGAAAAGCAGCACCAGTCAGCTCCTCTTGTAAAGTCTGGCAACGATGAATACATAAATATTAATTTACTTATATAACTGGTATTCAAAACACGTTAAGTATTTCGGCTGTCTTTCTGGTACCCTTTTGCCACTGAAATGATTGTGATGATTTTTGGTATGTAGATAAACTGGACCTTGGCGAAAAATATTTCAGATGTTTTAGTGTCGCGGGAAATCACCTATTTGTAATATAATGACTGATAATATACTTCCAGACACATTTATTGGCGCACTTGTAGTAAAAATTTTCAACGGTATTTAGCAAAAAAAATGTATGTTTATGCAACCATAAAACTTGCTCAACAGCAATAATTTAAAAAACATACGAAAAGATGGTTAATAAATCAGCTTCAAAACTGCGTAGGTAATAACTTTTTGGTCAATATTACTTTTATTTTTAGCTTGGGACCATCAAAAGTTAAAATGTTAAAAAGATGTGTCCTGAAGTGTATTTATGGCCTGCGTAGACGAAGGACTTTTGTTCGCTGCGGACCAAAGTCCTTGAACCGTGAAAAATTACCGCCGTGGACTTGTCACGGACTCAACGACAGGATCCGGGTCCATCTTTTTAAATCGGTTGGAGCGCACAACGCGCTGAAGTTCGCTGTGTGTGTTGTTGCGCCTAGTCATGTTAAGTTCAATTTTTAGGGACTCCCGCGAACTTTTGTCTTGTCCGGTCTCTCGGTGTATTCGGTTGTTCGGGGGACGCGGTACTTTTGATCCCTCGTGTGAGTTACTCGATGCAGTTGTATGCCATCTATTTTGGCGGAAAAAATAGTCCACGGAATAAGGATCAAGTCCCTCGTCTGGAAGTAAAAGCTTTCATCATTATCATCAGCCTATTCATGTCTCCATTGATGGGGCACAGGCCTTCCCTATGGATGGAATAGGGAGATTGGGCCATGACCCACCACGCGGGCCCAGTACGGATTGGCGGGTGCTAACGACTGCCGATGCAGCCGGGACCGGCTTAACGTGCCTTCCGAAGCACGGAGGAGCTCGAGATTTTAAATTTTTGGTCACCCATCCAATGACCGACCACTGCGAAAGTTGCTTAACTTCAACGATCGCAGCCGAACGCGCTAACCACTTGCGCCATCGAGCTCCTGAAATAAAGCTCTAAAATGATGTAAAAGAACTTTAACTTATAAATTTGAAAAAAGAATACAGCTAAACCTACTTTCATAGAACAACTTCGACATTCATTTGTTAACTCTAGCAGAAGTTACAATTTATTTATTCCACCCTCTTGGTTTTCGTTTCAAACATAATTGTAATTAATATAACACTTCATATGCTAATGGCGTGCGGTATCACGTTTTTATTAGTAAGTACAAACAAATCTTTGTGACACGCGACACGTAATAAATTATGCGACCATTATGCGACGCTCGAGTTGGTACAGTTGCGAACAAAAGACTGTCTCGTGACTTCACCCCGTCGCGTGACCGATAAACTAGCGCCCTGACAAATATGAAGCTTTAAGATTAATTCCGCGAAAGACGGGTCACATTACTAGTGACAACTTTGTTCCTTCAATTTGAGGTCAACATTTAAATGTGGAAGAATACTTGCATTCATTAGAATATATACCTTCAATTAACATGTATAAGGGCATTATATCTAATTTTTCGACTATACATTTTGATGTAAATTGTACGATCGATAATTCGTTTAAAAATGTCAAAACAGATAAGTTTTTCTTTTGAAAAGCATGCTTAATTGCAGTTAGGACCTTCTAATGAAAAGGAAACTGTGTTAAAATGTATCAAAGATATTTGAAATAGGGTATTTGACAAGTTTTAGAAAACGATCTCACGTTATTCACTAATGTTTATGGAGTCCGTAAAAAGTGGATATTCATCATTCTGTTAAGTATTTCAGTAAAAATAACCAAATCAAAAACTCCATTTTCAAGTTGCCGCGAAAACGTTTCTCTGGACAATATGGCGTCTTACTATAGTGTGTGACGACACACGACTGATATTAAAACGACAAACGATACAATGTAATGTCACTTTTACCTGTAGTTTACTTGCGTGTGACGTCATTTTAGGCTCCGCCAATCCCAAGCGTTTTGGTTCACGTGACAATAGATAAGAGAACTATTATCTTTTTCGTTAGTTTTTAGTAAAATTATGAATATTTTTTTTGTAACAATAGTAAAAACCCCTGTTTATATTCATTCTAAACACAGATGCTAACAATTGGCACTTTATTATTAACACTGTCAAATACCCTATTTCAATGCAATAGATCACGTTATAGATAAAATTGGAATAGTTGGGTAAGGGCATGCGTGCACTACTAAATTTATTTGCTGCGACTTTTAAAGTGCGCAATAAATCGCAATTGATAATAATTTTTAAGTTTAGTTAACTGTTTTTTTAAGTTCTAAATTTTTAATTAAAATTAAAAATGTAATGCGACATGTTAAAGGTGAACGAAAAGATTTGTGGCGATTTTATAAAAGTTTCACTCTAATTAACTGAAAAGATTAAACGACCAGCAGACATTTTACTACCCTTATCAATTAAATCTGCATTTTACATTTTGTAACAATTCATCATAAACATTTTTTTTAAGTACATAGCCTCAATAATCGTGGCTGTTATCGTAGCATTGGTTATTTCGTAGTCGTCGTAGCTGAGTTTCGTAGCGACGCTACGAAGCACGAACATGATAGGCCGGTGTGACACTGGGTGGTTTTATTGTCCCCTACGCCCACAACGCAATTACGTGGCAACATTAATAATTGAAAGTAGAGGCGGGTAATATAGCTTAGACGAATCTCGATATATCTTTATATATATAATTCTTCTGTGAGTGTGTATGTCACTGAACTTCTCTTAAACGACTGGACCGATTTTGATGAATTTTTTGTGTGTGTTGTGTGAGAATGGTTTAGATTCACAATTTTGTCCGCTGGACAACCCCTATTTTTTTAGGGCGGTACGAAGTTCGCTGGGTCAGCTAGTATATATATATATATATATATATATATATCGAGATTCTGAAACTATATTTATGTTGATATCGATGACAACCATATCAATTATTATGCATCATTATTTTGGATTGCAAAACCATATTTAACTGACACTATATAAATACCGGTATTGTTAGTGTTAGATTACATAAGTTGGGAGTCGAATCTATTTACTAAATAGATTCGATAAAAATAGTAAAAATTCAAAATCTATAAAAAAAATCGTTTGCTTGCGGGTTCAACGGCGAAGGTCAACGAGAGTAGAAATTAAATCGTGTCAAACAAAACGCTCCATTATTCCGTTAGGAGTTAAGTTAAGGTTTTTATCTACAAAAATATTAACAATAATTTATAAACTACATTTTTTATTACGATGAAATTAAAGTGAATTATGCGCTGCATCCATGTTGCATCTTAACGTAATTATCGCTGTTTCACTCTCATCTCATCACACGCTCTCCTTCTACTCTTTTGGCATTGGTCGCGTTCATATTGCATTGTGATACGGTTCAATATTCTTTTAAAAGTTAACACACAATACAGTAGTATCCTGATACAATATAGTCATCATCATTTCAGCCGAAAGACGTCCACTGTTGGACATAGGCCTCCCCCATGGATTCCCACAACGATCGGTCCCATGCTGCCCGCATCCAGCGGCTTCCCGCGACCTTTACCAGATCGTCGGTCCACCTTGTGGGGGGCCTGCCAACACTGCGTTTCCCGGTACGCGGTCGCCACTCGAGGACCTTTCCGCCCCAACGGCCATCGGTCCTGCGAGCAATGTGCCCTGCCCATTGCCACTTAAGGTTTGCAATTCTGTGGGCTATGTCGGTGACTTTAGTTCTCTTGCGTATCTCCTCATTTCTGATTCGATCACGCAGAGAAACTCTGAGCATAGCCCTCTCCATTGCCCTTTGGGTGACTTTGAGCCTTCTTACAAGACCCATGTAAGCGGCCACGTCTCGGTTCCGTATGTCATCACTGGCAACACGCACGAATTGAAGACTTTCGTCTTGAGGCACTGCGGTAGATGTATACAATATAGTGTTTTGCTAAAATATATAGTTTCAGAACGCATTGTTATCGGATTCGACGATATTGATGCAATATACGTTTCAATATCAATATATACGATTCGTATCGCCCACTCCTAGTTGAAAGTAAATTGTCATATTATATGGAAACGTGGTAATTGTCTGTTATTTAATGAACGCTATAATGGGCTGTGGCGACGCGTACATTTTGACTTGGAAAGAATTATAATACCCATCATGAACCGATTGGTGTAAATTACAGAGTAAATCGCGCCATGAAGGCGCTCTACGATAACGTTTATATTGCATGACTGTTTTAAAGTATACACTTACCACTGCGACCTTCTAAGGTGTGTGACTAACATTGTAAAAGTAAATGGGGAAAGGTTCAATGTACTGAAATATACAAGATAATATGATAAATGAGCTGCCTTGGACGGTCTACCTATCCATCAAAGACAAAAAACAAACAAAACACTTGAAATTAACGAAAAAAAAATTTATTTAAGCATATAACTGCACGATGTTTAAATTTAAAGAAAATACCTAATACATTGTGGGTTACCTTACAATGCGAAGAGATGGACACTTGAAATTAACGAAAAAAAAATTTATTTAAGCATATAACTGCACGATGTTTAAATTTAAAGAAAATACCTGATACATTGTGGGTTACCTTACAATGCGAAGAGATGGCGCTGCCTTGCAGCTTAAGAAAGGCTAGAATGAATTCGACATGGCTATCAGGGCCGCTGAATGATCAGTGCATTCGTCTGGATAGCGAAGGGTGCTGGTTCGAGTCCCGTCTGCTGCCTGGTCCGTGTGGATTTTGTTCCAGTAATATTTTTTTTTAATCGAACAAGTTTAGAATCCAAATATGGTAAACTTGAAAAGAACAATCAGTGAAGTCATATCTTATTTATTATGTACTAGCTGTGCCCCGCGGTGTTAGGCGCGGTTTATTAGGGATATTTCCTGTAGTAAAACGTAGTTTTTGTGTTAATCTAGAGTGTCAGCTAACTCCATACCAAATTTTATTAAAATCGCTCCAGCTGTTTAGACGTGAAGAGGTAACATACATACACAATCACAAACTTTTTTGGCCTTTATAATATTAGTGTTATGTTAGATGCAAAATAATGCTTGATTTCATGTAGTTTTTTTTTGCTAGTAGTACTAACTTTCTTGTGTGTGTTAATGTGAGATTTCTTAACTTTTATCAAAATCATCATGTTAACGGTATTGGAAGGAATAATTTACGCAGTATTGAATAAATATTATATCCGATACTTACGGCCACTTTTCCCAATAAGTGTCCCCACTGCCACTGCCACACGGAGAGGATGCTCTCCCTGCCTGCGTCCACAGCTAGCACATAGCTCCCACCATTCTATCGTGAAATATGATCAAACAATTATTAAACAAATCAGGAAAATAATTAAAACGAAAATTTAACTATAATTCAATTGAATGATTTACATAATCTTATATGTACAACAAACTCAATCGTATTCCTATTTACATAAACTAGCAAATCAGTGAACCAAATGTTCACCAAAAAAAAAAATGTATCTAATTAATTGAGAACTTCGGAGATTTTGTGTGGTTTCGTTTGAAATAGAAATCACGTGATTTCTCGAAAACCGGAAGTGCTACGTTACTCACATCCGGTTTGTAGTCTTATCAGACTATTCTTAACTTATAACTTAAACATTCTCTATATCTATCTCTTACGGTTTGGCCGCTGAAACAGCACCACGGACGGACGGACGGACTTGTCTATTAGATAAGAGATAATACGATGAGAACAAAGTTGATGCACACTCGATGACAAATAACTGATAAATTTCGTGCTAACAAAAAAAGTTCGATTGTAGCATTTTGAATTTCGTAAAATTTTACAAAGTTGTGCCCTCTGGTTGCATTTTGAATGCAATTTTTTTTAAAGCGTAACCTTTATTGTTTCGTCTCAAAAAATTTCGCTCATCTATCGCATGACGCATTACAACCTGCCGAGGTGCAGAAGGGTACAGCAGGAGCGATAGCTCTAAATCATCTATTCAGTATTACAAATAAGGCAACGACCTCTTCATTGATTTTCTAGCAGGAAATAAATATCACTTTCATTATCTCATATAATTCTTGTTTTTTTAAGTGAGAGGTTGATTTATCTATGGATCTATGCGATCGCTTATTATTTCATAGTATAGAAAGCGATTCTTTGGCATTCATAAATCATGGAAACTTTGCCAATTAGCTTTGAGTTTAAAAAAAATAATGAATAACAATTTTCTTTGGATTTGAAGGAGATCATGGAAATAGTTAAACTTACGCAATAGGCTCCTAGTTTGATAGAAATATATTGAAAAACAATATGATCCAAAAACATCATACGGTTAATTAAAAATGTAACCCTTTTTCCGAAGCTTCTTAGAAAAAACTTACAAGTTTTAAGAAGGCAACAGCTGATAATACGGCTTCGAATTCCGCCATGCCGAACACGTGGAGTTTCTGCAGTGTGTCCGTGCTCCAGATGCGAAAGAGCGCTTGCGATCCGTCTTCAGTCTGCTGGCTACAAGCTCTCGAGAAGAGTGTAGTTCCATACTAAAGGTAATTACATAAAGACGGGACATACAGAGTTTATAAGTTGCGAAAGGGCAAAGACGACTTCACTGCCTCGAACTTCGCCATTCCGAATTTGTGCAAGGTCTGCAGCATATCCATACTCCAGACGCGCACGTAGGCCTTGGCTACCAACTCTCGATTAGAATAAAATTCTATACGAAGGAAGTTCGTTATATAAACACAGGATAAAAGAGCTTACAAGTTGTGAGAAGGCCACAGCTGACACTCCCGCCTCGAACTCCGCCATGCCGAACACGTACATCTCTACAGCGTGTCCGTGCTTCAGATGCGCACGAGCACGCCTTGGCTATCAGCTCTCGGGAAGGATCAAACTCCATACTGAAGTAAGTTTGTTATATAACCAAAGGACAAAAGAGCTTACAAGTTATGAGAAGGCAACAGCTGACACTTCCGCCTCGAACTCCGCCATGCGGAACTAAACTTACGCAATAGGCTCCTAGTTTGATAGAAATATATTGAAAAACAATATGATCCAAAAACATCATACGGTTAATTAAAAATGTAACCCTTTTTCCGAAGCTTCTTAGAAAAAACTTACAAGTTTTAAGAAGGCAACAGCTGATAATACGGCTTCGAATTCCGCCATGCCGAACACGTGGAGTTTCTGCAGTGTGTCCGTGCTCCAGATGCGAAAGAGCGCTTGCGATCCGTCTTCAGTCTGCTGGCTACAAGCTCTCGAGAAGAGTGTAGTTCCATACTAAAGGTAATTACATAAAGACGGGACATACAGAGTTTATAAGTTGCGAAAGGGCAAAGACGACTTCACTGCCTCGAACTTCGCCATTCCGAATTTGTGCAAGGTCTGCAGCATATCCATACTCCAGACGCGCACGTAGGCCTTGGCTACCAACTCTCGATTAGAATAAAATTCTATACGAAGGAAGTTCGTTATATAAACACAGGATAAAAGAGCTTACAAGTTGTGAGAAGGCCACAGCTGACACTCCCGCCTCGAACTCCGCCATGCCGAACACGTACATCTCTACAGCGTGTCCGTGCTTCAGATGCGCACGAGCACGCCTTGGCTATCAGCTCTCGGGAAGGATCAAACTCCATACTGAAGTAAGTTTGTTATATAACCAAAGGACAAAAGAGCTTACAAGTTATGAGAAGGCAACAGCTGACACTTCCGCCTCGAACTCCGCCATGCGGAACACTTAAGTCTCTACAGCGTGTCCGTGCTCCAGATGGGCACGTAGGCTTTGGCTACCAGCTCTCGCGAAGGATGAAACTCCATACTGAAGTAAGTATGTTATATAAAACAAAAGAGCTTACAAGTTGTGAGAAGGCAACAGCCGACACTCCCGCTTCGAATTCCGCCATGCCAAACACGTGCAAGGTCTGCAGTGTATCCGTGCTCCAGATGCGCACGTGCGCTTGAGCGCGCCGCCCGCGACCCGCCTTCTGCCCGCTGGCTACCAACTCGCGGGACGGATGCAATTCCATACTGGAGGAATTTTTATATAATTACTAGCTGGCCCAGCGAACTCAGTATCGTCATAAAAATATGGGTGGTAGAAGGGTGAAAATTTAGGGTTGTATGTATTTTAGTATGATGTATTTTAAAAAAATAAAAACAAAAAAATTGTCAATGAAAAAAAATTAACAGTGGACCCTTAGCATTTAGGGGGATGAAAAATAGATGTTGTCCGATTCTCAGACCTACTGAATATGCATATAAATTTAACGAAAATCGGTCGAGTCGTTTCGGAGTAGTTCAATTACGCACACCGTGACACAAGAATTTTATATATTAGGAAAATGTAGCCCGTGGCACTTTTGTTCTAAATGTAGGGAACGTAAATCATTCTTTTTATCATTATAGTAAAAAAAATCATACTTGATTCTAACTATATAACAACATGGCCATGTTAAAAATTGCGTAAGTGATATGAATAAAGAAATGAAGATTTTATGATTAATATGCTCTATAATTTGTTCCTTATAGTATGTTAAGGTCCAAAAAAGATTCAAACTGCGATGACATAGCTACTGTTATGTTTTGTGTAAAACTTCTGGTGACCTTTTCCCGCAGTGACATAAAAAAATCTACAAAAAATTATAATAATAAGAAAAGGCTACCTATCTGCAATCTGCTGTAAGGTCGTGGAGACTCCCTCAAGGTGGGGCGTTATAAACTAAAGCAGATTCTACCCCAACTCACTTATTCTACTAATGTATAGGTAAAATTATGTTAAGCTCTACCATTGTATATCTTCCGTATGACCTATATAATGCCGCTGCGACTCCTCGTCACGATCATACATGACAGCTACTGCGGCTACGTAGTACAACAGTTCACCAGTGGGCAACACCCAAAGGTTCTTACGGGAATCCGAGCCACGATACCCGTATCTGCAGAACAAATAACATAATCAGAAATTATGAAAAGAAACGAATAAAAGAAGAACACGCAAATGGTGATCAGGATTAAGGTTTTTGAAAAGTGCTCAGGAAACACAGAAAACTTTAGAAAGTCGAATTAGAAAGAATAGTTTTGTTGGAGAGTTCAATCTTGACTGTGTGATATGCTTTGATATTATAAAATATTTGACTATTAATTTATCATATCAATTATTGACTATCAATTATTACTCAAAAAGACTGTGTTATTCGGATTCACACTGAAAAAGGTTCCGTATCATTATATAAGATTGAAAACCGAGTTGAGAATGAAGAAATTTTATGAAAATATTTATGTTATTTTGTTTGTTTTAAATAAATACATATTCTTGCTGCTTTGAAAGGTACTGAAATAACTTATATTCAACCATCATTCGAGTTACATAACTGTCATTAAAATCTGCCTTGAAATCTTCAGTAATAAATGTTTTGTACTCCCATTAACCAGCTTACTAGGTATAAATTACTCTACACGTGTCCAAATTAATTCAGCTTTCTACTTGGTAATCACCATTGCCATTATTCTCTATATAACGGAAAACCTCGCTATAAGTCACTTAACACTTAAAAAGCCTAGAAACGTAAAGCATAATATTAACGTGAATAATCAGTTATCAACGTCCTAGGTTAATAATAATAAGTGACGTTAGTTAAAGCGGAAAGAAGGCGGTGGCATATTAATGGCTTGCCCCCTAGCCCCGTTTCCATGTATGTAGGTACAATAGGACGGTGAAGGTATACATACAACATTGTTTTATTGTCTAACCCATTAGTTGTTAGCTGATAAAAGTTTAAAGGTCTACAATTGTTAAAAAGTAGTTCTTTAAAATTCAAAAACGATGTATGTAGTTGTATAATATCTTTGCAAAGAACATTTTAATTTCCAATCAGGAATGATTAGTATTATCAATTTGCCGCTTCATCATGATTCCTAGCTTTATTTCCTGTAGATATTTGTAAATTTTGCTTAACCATATGGGTAGATATCTTTTTTAAAACACCTTCCTTTTCTAACTAAAACCTGTCTATGCTTACACCCAGTCCAGTTGCATTTTCTTCTCTGGAGGGGTGTTGTCTATCGGTGCGTGGTGTATGGGCGGGTAGAAAGTACGTCTCAAGCCTCTTATTGTTACTCGAATTGGCTCTTCTTTTAATACTTCTAGAAGTGTGTAATCTGAAACAATGTGAATTAAAGAAAATGATGAAATTGGTATGATGTTAGACAGACAAATTCGAGGCTACAGTAAAAACAAAAACGAGTACTGTGGCATTACTTCAAGAACTGTAAAAGAAAATCTACCGAAGTTCGTTGTTCGAATGCTTCAATTTAACAATTCATATATTTAATATTTTTTCTTTCTAAACACGTAAAGATCTAAAATGTCTTCTTAATGTCTACTACTAAATAATTAAATGATGATCTGCAATCCGATTATCATTTTTATTATGCAGAATGCAATCTGATTTTACCAATATATTCATTGTAAGACACTTGCCTGAGTTGCGTACGATTTCGCCTTCTGGTGCATATAATACTCTTGGTCGGCTTTTGCTTCGCGCTCTTCTACCGCGTAAGTCTTCTGTGGAGGCAGCTGCTGCCATATTTGCTCTCGATCTTGATCTAAGAAATAGAGAATATAATGATAATTTCCTCGCATCCCTTTAACTTTCTTGAATCATGCTTTAATCACAAATACCTTCGAATAGGTGATTCAACAGGCAGCAACGGAGCGCTCACGCCAGGGCTCAACGCTGGGGCCACTATCATTGACCCTAAATAAAACGTTTCGACGTCTGCGAATTCATTTCTTAATTGTGAAAAACTCCTGACCTATTAACAAGAGGATGAAAATGTTTTATAAGATTACTAACACAACGAAATTATGATACCCATTTCTCAGATTGTTTGACTATAAGTTTAATGGTGTGCATTTCTTACCTCTTGTCCGGTTATAGTGTACATTCTTTTAGCTCCGCTCATTTTCAGGACTTGCCCTAGATCCTCCAATACTTCCTCGAAAGGTTGTGTGGTTCGGAGGTTTAACAATACTCGACACTGCAATACAAATAATTTATCATAATGACTTGTTACGATTACGAATGAATCAATATACCTAACATTCCCAAGACATATTCAATTTAGTGTAAGAAATATTTATTTATTTAATAATCTCTACTGATGAGGTTTAAATGAAGTCGAGGCAACGGCTACAAATGAAAAGAAAAGCCATCCTTTAAAAACTATAAACGGAAATTGACCGATGTTCGTTGCAGAAATCTAAAATATGAACATCTGAATGATGTTTTTCGGGCTGGTCATTGTTTTAATTTTAGTTGTACATACTACATGATGTTGTACATACTACATGAGTGTGGGTGACTCATTATAGCTATAGCTTACATCAGAACTGCTGATTTGATTTAAATGAAATTTAAATATATCACAGACCTAAGTCGAATTATATTAAATTCAACATCAAATTTACGAAAAAGAAACTGTCGGTACCTAACTATAACATACATAATATCCCAAATTCTACCCTCCCATCACTATGTTATATGCCTAAAATGAGCATCTACTTTCCCTCACATAAGACATTGCCAATAATACTATGACTTTGACATTGTAAAGATCCACTGGCCTACAATTTAGTAGATACCCATCTTCGCTAATATTTGCACGACCTCAAACCATTTGCGCTACTCTGGCAATCAAAATCGCCGCCCTTACTGAATTATATTAAATTCAACATCAAATTTACGAAAAAGAAACTGTCGGTACCTAACTATAACATACATAATATCCCAAATTCTACCCTCCCATCACTATGTTATATGCCTAAAATGAGCATCTACTTTCCCTCACATAAGACATTGCCAATAATACTATGACTTTGACATTGTAAAGATCCACTGGCCTACAATTTAGTAGATACCCATCTTCGCTAATATTTGCACGACCTCAAACCATTTGCGCTACTCTGGCAATCAAAATCGCCGCCCTTACTGTTTGTTCCTCAAGGTCTTTGCATTGAAAGAGTTTTATTACATCATAGATTTGCAATCACGTAATCATCTTTAACAGCACTTTACAGGTTTATGATAAAGAAATTGTAAGTACTACTCAAAAAGTGCAACAAATATAATAACTCGGTTTTAATTGTACAGCTTAACTTGGTTGCATTAATTGTACCTATTAAAAGCTATAAAAATTTAAACAGTTTATTGAGGATTGTTAGATTCAAATTATAACCGATGGCAATTATTATAAATGCAAGAATATTGCTGCCCTCATAGGACTTAAAACAAAAACATTGTATTTAGATACGTTAGCGAACCCAAGTCGTTCTAGTACTCTTGAACCATTAGTTTGATTACAGGTGCGGTTGAAGTGCTGTGCAGTGCAGTGCTGAAACCAACAGGGTTTCGTTTTACATTAACTTCCTATTCTAAGGGTATAGTTAAAAATTTGTTTTTTAAAAAAATGATCATCATAATTATATTTATACAATGCGCAGATCTTGGGTTACCAATACATATAATATGTAGTATGTTATGGATAATGTTGATGACGCGCACGCTGGCGGGATTGCCCTTGTCCTTATGCCTATACGTCACTCTTCCTGTATGGAGTGGTCCATTTTGTTGACGATCCTGATGACGCGGCCGCTGACGGGCATACCGCTGCCAGGCGGGGGTGCGTCTGACTCCGACACGGACTGCTTGCGGGTGCCGTCCTTATGTCTATACGTCATGGTACCTGAATGGAGTGGTTCATGTTGTTGATGATCCTGATGACGCGGCCGCTGGCGGGCATACCGCAGCCAGGCGGGGGTGCGTCTGACTCCGCCACGGACTGCTTGCGGCTGCCGTCCTTATGTCTATTCGTCGTGGTACCTGAATGGGGTGGTTCATGTTGTTGATGATCCTGATGACGCGGCCGCTGGCGGGCATACCGCTGCCGGGCAGGGCCGCGTCTGACTCCACCACGGACTGCTTGCGGGTGCCGTCCTCGTGTCTATACGCCATGGTACCTGAATAGAGTGGTTCATGTTATTGATGATCCTGATGACGCGGCCACTGGCGGGCATACCGCCGCCAGGCGGGGCTGCGTCTGACTCCGCTACGGACTGCTTGCAGGTGCCGTCCTTATGTCTATACGTCACGGAACCTGAATGGAGTGGTCCATGTTGTTGATGATCCTGATGACACGGCCGCTAGCGGGCTTGCCACCGCCGGGCGGGGGTGCATCCGACTCCGCCACGGACTGCTTGCGGGTGCCGGCGCGAGACCAACCGCCCGGTCCCCCGCCGCCGCCGGCGCCCGCCACCGCTCCGCCCCCGTACCACATGCCGTTCTTTTTCCCGTAACTCGCTGCCTGCGAAATTTTAAATAATACCAACTTTCAATCGCAAGAAATTGAAAAATACAGCCGATATAGAGAACCGGCCGATCGCTGCATCTTTTTCACACTTACTTTTGTTTTACATTACAGTTGGTCAGGGATCAATTCTCTATTATTTAAATACACATCAATAAAAAAAATGTATCTCATGTGTGGCAAATTGTGGACTTATATGTATATTGTAGTTACAATAATCTCTCTCAGAGGCACTCTACTTTAATGTATGAGCACAATTTTCAGCTCTGTATTTATTTTTGTTGTTATGGGTATTTTTACAACTGAGTTCTGAGTTGATTGAATTCAAGTCATTCATGTTTTCATGAAAACATAAATATAAGTTTTATAGAAACAGCAAGTTCGTTTTAATTGACTATATAGGCATAAAAGAGTCGTTTTACAAATATGGTCTAAGTTTAAATGTGTCTGCTTTTTACTTCATATACAGTCTTGATAGCTTTCTATAATTAAGCACTATCACTTAAAAATCATTCAATTTCAAAATTCTTATCGCAAAAGCGGAGACTATTGTATTGTTAATGTCAGTTTTTCTTTCTAAAAGTAGTGTGTTATTAAAATAAGTGTTCATTTCATGGTTGTTTGGAGGTGTGGTGGGTGTGAACACTAGTGTTAAAACATATATGTAATGGAAGGTCATATGAGCACCAAATAAGCCAATGAATATAATGGAAAAGTGTTCATAGCATTTTATAGCTCTTATTTTTCCCGGCCTTGGCACCGTTTTGATATACTCTTACTTTAAAATCCAATAGCTTAGCAAATTTATGTATGGGAATTATAGAGCAACACAGCCGACGCGGCCAATGAGAATAGATTCTAAAATTTGCATTTGTTTAAATTTATAGTAAATAAACAATTGAAATCTTTTTAAGCCATTTTCAGCCTACCCTATATAACCTGTTTAAATGTAGTATGCAAATGTTCTGCAGCACTCGTATGGCAATTGGAATGCTAATCACTTTAAGTAGAGTACTTACTTTCAATGGTGGTATTTGAGGTTTTTATGGATTTACGACTTAGAAATGGTATTAGTACTTCGTCGCGCCTTTTACTCCTATGTTTCTCAGTACCAGTTAACCTACTTGATTAAAAGCGTTCAAAAAATACAAATTTGCAAATTTTGTTGATTACCGTTAACGAAAACAATTGCATGTTTGGATACGAAAGTTGTGCCAAGGTTACTTTAAACAATTCTTTCTAATTGTGAACTGTAAGTAGGTTTAGTGTAATTGTGATTGTAAATTGTCATAAAAGGAATGATCTTGTAATACTACTATCATATATACGGAATGTAATATGAGATATATACTACGTAACAATCATTTAACTCTCTAAAAAAATTGAATTCCGAATCTAGAAATTAATGTAAAATTTTGATTTATTTAACTGTTCTCTATAGAATAACTGCACCTAAACTCACCATTATGGTTATTCTCAAATCTTCGGCACTTTTAGACTCGTACCGAATCCTAATTCGCGGTATTTTGGAGTTTGTAATGAAATCAACGACAGGCGCCACGTCCGCCGACCGACCCGCCACTGCTCGAGTAAACAAAGCTCCTCCCACAGTCAAATTATGCCAAAGTCCTTGGCCGATGGTACTGACCGTTCGCCAAGGACGCCTTATCGCCAACTCTATGCGTGCAATTAGAATACGTCAGCCAATTTGATGGACCTCCGAAAAGCCACGCGAGCGGGTGTCGTCCGAGAGATTCGTTTCACACTGCCGATTCTCCGCGGGTCCACCTTCAATGGTCGAACACTCTACGTAGATCGCACGTATGGGCCGGCGAATATGCGTCGCAGGCGAGGTCACGTATCAAATTGCTGCATAACAAGTGGACTGCGGTGTTTGTGAAATTAATATGTCTGAAAGTTTTGTCGTTAACAGAGATTGTTGGTTTCTAAGGGGAAGTTTCATAGAAAAAATATAACAGAATTCGTCTTACTCAAGTCACGATTTAACTTTGGCGACTTTTAATTAATAGTAGCTGTTCGACCCACCGAATGGGGTATACCTATGACGCAATATGTAGTTTCTCGGAATCAAAAGTAACAGTTTTACGTAATAATTAACAAACATAGGGCAATTAAGTATATTAAGGTACGGGTCATTAATTAGATGGATTGTTTCAGATTTGGTTTTAAATGTCCGCTAATGACTTGATTATTTATTATTATTGTAATGAGAATAAATTCATGTTTGGTAAAACTGCTTTTCGCAACGCACAAATACGTAGCCAGTCTGAGTCCACAATAATTAGTGATTTGCCAGTCTGGATGACAAGAAGACACGTTTACCAACATGGTAAAATATTTCTAGTCCTATTACATACTAGGTACTGGGTTGTTTACAAGAACCTCATTCACTAGTCGGTTATATTAGCATATTTTACATAAGTACGAGTACATTAACCTGCTTTTATCAATGTAGTAATAACACATTTTTGTCATTACTGATATTATAATGTTTTGGGTACAATTTAGTTGGTTGAAATAATGAAAATGTAAAATAATAATAATGACTTATTTCCAAATTTCACAACAATTTTACAGAGTTCTAGTCACACTAGGCTTAGCCTGTCCTGGTGGGGGAAGAAATCTATAGTAGTAACATTTTGAATGAACCTTAAATTGTATCAATTTATTGAAATTTATATACCTCAATCATATAAATGAATCCAATTAATTATCAATGAAACTTTGTAGAGTGTCAGTAAAATTACTAAAACTATATAGTAACAAAATTCAAGAATTTCAAACCTTATTCTAGTGCCGACATTGGTACACGGAGCAGAAATTATATATTTCCAAGGAAATAAAGGCAAGCCTTCAAAATAGGCAATATTTCATAATCGAATGTTTTATGTGTTTCGTGAGAATAAGCAGAGAAAATAAAAAAAAGCCTGCAGAAACACTTTATTGTGGTGAACATGATATAATAATATTTTTAAATATATATATATATATATTTTCTAAATATCCTAACGATGACTTGATGATGTTTTGACAACTCACTACTGGCTCTGGCGCATACACCGGCAAGGAGATGACGACGAACGGCTCCTCGTCACTATCCAGCATGAAGTCCTCAGCTGCTTGGAGCCAGCGGCGTCGGCTTGGACGCCACAGTTTGGCGACTTCCTATTACTAGTCGTTGAAAATACTCAACCGGTAAAAGCTTTAAGCTTCAAGAACACTTTTTCAGTCATTAATTATTAAGTCTGGCTAAATTACTTCAAAATATTTGGTACCTATAATAGTCTAACGCTATAAGTGTTTGCAACAAATTATAATGATAAAATAAAAAAAAGTTAAATTAATTTTATGTTCTAACGGCAAAGTATAAGTAAATACTGGAACAAGCTTTTTTATAAAGAGACAGTGATTTTAAATGTCATGCCCGTTCACAAGCCCGAGTCAAGTTCAAGTACCTACTGAGGCAAAGACGCACACACGTGGTGCATTCGTGACTTATGGTGGCATGCAGTCAGCTTTGCATAAACCTTTGTCTACTTAACATACTGTCCGGGGTGACGTCTGTCCGGCCCCTGTGGCCCAATCAGATAGTATTAGCATAAAGAAACAGTAAACGTAAAGAGATAAACGATTTGTAACGAAATCATGCAATTTCAGTCATGAATCCAGAATGGATTTGGTTTAAGGATTTTATCAAGTTACGATATTAGCGCACTTCATATATTTGTAATTTTAAATTCCTAAATACAGTTTATGTTCTAGTATACTTTGGCAGCGTTCTCTAGGCCTAGACTTGGATTAGTCGGCAGTGTATCCTTGTCATTCTCAATACAGAGTGAGGGACTGGTGTTGGATCTGTTTTTGGGTCTGGAGAATGATGTCAGAATGGATATTAATATGTATCCAATATTTAGTTTTATAGTTTTGAAGTGTTTGTACTAGATTCTCTTATTTTTGTTTCGTAAGTCTACTTCGTAAGTAAATTTTTTACGCATGCAGTGGCAGCCTTTAAGTAAGGCAGCACTAAGAATTGTTTTCTTTATTGCTTTCTCAGTTTGTATTTTTATTTGGTGTTTGTTTTGTTGGCTGTCCTTAATAAATAAATAAAATAAATAAAAAAAGAAAAGTATTGAAGTAATCAATTACAAAAAATACTTTTTTTATTTATAAATACAGAACCACTATACGTAGATATCTTTTACAATAGTTACAGTATTGCGTTTATGTTGACGACTGCTTATTCTTATAAATATTTAAAAAGGTTGGTAGTACTTTATTACTGTATTTTTTTTTAATTATCACCATGAAGTTACAACACAGTATACCTTGTTAAGAATATTAAAATACTGCGATAGAGGATTTTTTGTAATTATAATTTGTAAGAAAGTAGGCCACTCTACTTTTGCTTGTCAACAGAGTCAGTTTGACACGCATTGTTGATGTGAGATTTTCACGGTAACTTAAAAGAAAAGAAAGCATTACAATTAAATTATTAGAAAACTACAGGGTGTTTTCTATTTTCTTTTTGTATAATGAATGTGCAATCAATGAAAAATATATAATTATGATTAATATAGAGGGTTAAAAATGTACAATTTTGGATTTTCGGAAGCACTTTTTAGCAGAACACTGTTTAAATAACGTCTTCGATAGCACGATCGCGATTATTAACGAAACGTCGTAGTCGTAAGGCGCCACAAGAAGCACTAGGCTTTGTTGCAACAGCTGACTAATTTGCAGCTCCAACTAAACAAAAGCCCAACGGAAACATCGCCAGTCATCACAACAACACTAGACCCACTCACGAGAAAGAGCCTTAAGGCATTATGATAAGGTGTTAAGTCGAAATACCAGAGGTATCCGTATAGCACGGTTGGATGTGGCAGACTATTTGGTTTTAACAGAGCTAGTGGAAGAAAGCCGGCGTTGGGGTGGGGGTGCCAAGGTCACTCTCAGTTAGATGCCACGCAACCACGTTACCAAACGTTCACAACTAAGTACGATACACATCGGTCAGACGGCGTGGTATTAAGACCCCTTTACGGGGTCTCACGTGAAGTAATTATTAGAGCTTATGCCCAACTGTGTGGTCACGATCAGGCGACTGCCACACGCAAACTGATAAGGCTAATTTGGGACCACGCATTAACGTTTAGTTCACAAAAATACGAACGTCCAAGGGTTTTCTGGACCTTGATCCAGTTATTCGTTTATTACTGTAGCTTATGTAACTATTAATGAGAATTATGGCAATCGCCGGCGACCGTAACGAGAGCTTTAGTATAATGCGCATAGCAATTGGAACAGGGTAAGTGTGTCAAAGTCATATTATTTTAATTAAAGTTTTTATTTAGTGTTATGACCAAATAAAAGCCTTATATGAATTATTGGAAATTTCGACCAGAGAAACATCTAAAATATCTGCCCTCGAAATTTGGGGATAGGAAAAGTACGATTTTATCTCTGTACCTGGTGAAGCTTCCGTAGCTGGACCATTACCTATTTGATTATTGTCTTCTTAAATGTCTAAAGATTAGCAAACAAATTCTATCTACTCAACTCTAGCAAAAAACATAATACATTTTTATAAATTATCTTAAGGTTAGTGTAATATGTATATCACATGCAACTCTGTGATAATATTAAACTTACGAATTCATTAAGCATCAAACAATCTTTTTGTAAAAAGTTGTTAAAATAACAACAAAAACTTCATTTCACCGCTTTGCAGTCATACGACCAGAACTTTCGCCTGCTGATCATACTCGCGAACTTTAATATTTTGTGTTTTCATAATTTCATTTTGGAAAGTTGGCAACTAAAGCATATTACCTACTTATGTTGTTTTCCAGAGCGGACCTAATATTCTTTATGGAAATTGGGACAACTTTAATATTAATAAATTACAAGTGTTTCATTAAAATCAAGGTTTTCGGAAACACTTTTCTACATAAAGAATTTCGTTTCACTGGGCAGTTTGCCGGTGCAAGTTTGACCTATATTCCCATTTTCGACAGGCCACTGGCCGTGACTTCAACAAAGCCTTCGACACATCGACTTATTTCAAGTAGGTATTATGGAATAGCGTAAAAAGCTGCGAGCGAAACGAGCAATTTAAATATATTCTAAATATAAATCTTTTGCAGAAGGTAGAATAATGTTATTTACTTTTTTATTTTCATTTTTTAATTTATATACAAAACGCAGCAAATTATGTAAAGTATGTGTCCATGTGATGACATACCTGATACAGCAAAAAATTAGTAGTTCCAGCCATCATCAACTTGCCGACCTGACCTTAATCCCAATGAATGTTGACCAATGATTTGATAATTTTGTTATTAAAGAAAATATAACTATTCCACGCGGACCAGGCAGCAGACGGGACTCGAACCCGCACCCTTCGCAATGCACTGACCAATTATGCTATCGCGGCCCTCACAGACCGCGTCGAAATTCCTCTAGCCATTCTTAAGCTGCAAGGCAGCGCCATCTCTTCGCATTATAGGTAACCCACAATGGCAAATGAATACTTTTACAAGTATTAAACATTTGAAAGAAGGAATAGCAATTATAGTTATAATTTTTATTTTTTTTAAAAGCATGTAACTGCTTGATGTTTAAATCTAAAGAAAATATAACTAGAAAAAATTTCACGCGGACCAGGCAGTAGACGGGACTCGAACCAGCACCCTTCGCAATCCGGGCGAATGCACTGACCAATTATGCTATTATAATGCGAAGAGATGGCGCTGCCTTGCAGCTTAAAGATGGCTAGAGGAATTTCGACGCGGTCCGTGAGGGCCGCGGTAGCATAATTGGACGCTCAGGAGACTTTGAATTTTATTGGTCAATTTGGGGTTTTCCAGTAAATCGTAGGATTTACCGTCATGATTGGTAAATGCAAGGATATTTAAAAAGAGATTATTCTCTCGGGCTTTTACCACTGCTAATTATTTCATATTTTTATGTAGGTATTATATGTGAGTAATTATCAATCATTAATGTTACTAATTAGACAAATTCATTGCTTTGCACGCAGAATCAGTTTACCTCATGAATAAAAATAAAAGAAGTTGTTAAAGATAAAGAAATAAGTCTGCGAGAAGTTGTCGGAAACTGGTCATTGACTGGAGGACTAAATTATAATGTGTGAAAGCCCGAAAAAAAACGTCTCTTTTTTATAAATATTTATATGGTAAATGTAAATATTTCTTTTTAATTTAATACTCATCTAGGTAAATCCTAAGAATTACAGGTTAAATCAATAATAGTGATCAACATACGGGATTTTACAGTTAAATACATAATAAAAAACATTGTTATTAGAATTTATGTACTGTAATATTATTTTTTGTGAAACAGAAAAAAATGATAAACATTTCAATTTATAGTATAAAAAACTAAACTTCATTTCAACTACAAAAAAATATTTACTGCACCAAAAGTCCAAGGTCTAAACCCCCGGACGCTCCATTATATATGTTATCTTTTGAACTACTTGAATTATGATAATTAAATGAAAATTCGATATGGAAGTGGATAACGAACTTCTGGAAAAAAAGGAAAGAAAAGGGAATAAAATCTATGAATAAAAGGTGTTTTCAAAATTAAACTTTGAGAACGAAAACAAAAATAATAAAACAAACAAATAAATTCGAAAAAAAAATTAGCCAAAGTGGTGTGATTTTTTTTACACTCACACCAATTAGCCTAGCCCCAAAGTAAGCACTATAAGGCTTGTGTTATGGGATACTAGGGTAACGGATAGAATACATATACTGTACATATATACTATTGTTTTTGTTTATATAGAAATACATATTAAACATCCATGACTGGAATACAAATGCTCGTATTATTTTATATCACACAAACATCTGCCCCCACCGGGATTCGAACCCCTCGGACCTCTCGAGTCACCATGAAACCCGGCCTACAAACTACTCGGCCACGGAGGTTGTCTTCGGAGATTATCGAGGGAATGCATTTTTATCTCATTATTTGTTATAATAATGCGGCCAAACCTACAACGGACAGCGTGAATATTGATGTAAAATATGAAAATACCTACCTAAGATAATTATAGGAACTCTTAAGTCAGATATAGATGCTTTTTTGTAGAAACAATATAAGCATTACATTGCTTGATATTTTTATATAATAAAAAATCTTATATATAAGTATGTTTATAGTTTATGTATGTTAGTTTTCTTACCTATAATAATATTATAAAGCGGATATATTTGAATTTTGTTTCTTTGTTTGTTTTGAATATTAGACAGATTTG